GGACTATGTTAATTTGGGGGGTGGATGGGGATGATAGTTATGGTGGTTTCTGTTTTCTTCATCCTTGAAATTTGGAAGAGAAATCTGCCTCGCCCATTTTTCCATCAGTCCAGCTTTCACACTGCTCCGACAATTCTTGAACCTCCAGTGTACTTTCATACTCCCTCGTGATCATGCTCAGAAACTCGGGCATCAGAATAGTCAAATGATCTAGTTGTCAAAATTGTCTCTTTCACTGCGGTGACAAAAATCCATCAAAATAGCAGTTATACAGTAAATTATACATAATATGTATACATAATATACATAGTTATACCATGTTATACCATAGGGAGTTTTACAATCGTTCTACCTATTTCTACCAAAAATCCATCGTTGGTTTCAGTTGATCCCCTCATGAAATGGTTCAACTGCGCCCCTTGGGCGCCCAGGAGCTGCGGGCATACTTGTTCTTGTTCGTCGAGGTGATCTTTTTGCACGGATGATTTGATGATGTTTAAAATTTAGTGTTTTTTTTATATGTATATATACACCAGTTGTGTATTTATATGTATATATACACCAGTTCCTGGGTCTATGATACAGGTCTATGTGTGTGACTGTCTATGTGTCTAAATCTCTGATCGCCGTGAAACCATGGCAGTCCGTGTTGCATCTTTGCACTTCGGCACTTGTACATACAGGACCTTTACGCATATTTCCTGCAACTTTAATCCTTATTTTTTGAGCTCTTTGATTCAAATTACACAAGAAGGGATCATATTGTTCAGACTTTCATGGATGTCAGTCAAGTCATTGGGTACTATTGGGAACCTCAAAATGTAAAAACATATGTTTTGAAACTACTTGTATGTCATACATTCTGGATAAATTTTAGCGACCTCACTGCTACGTCACTGGAATGTTTAGTAAAGAGTAACTATTCAAAATTTGCCTTAGTTCAGATTCCAGATTAGTGAAATATGTTGAGCATTGTTGAGCTATTCTCATTTACCAATATATATATATTACATCATATATATATATATTTGTTTTTTACATCATATATATATATATCCTCAAGATGACAGCTAAAAATCCACCGTTTCTCCGCGGAAAAAAAACACGGGTCCAGTGGCAGCCAGGTGGCATCCCTCGGAGCTGCGGCTCCGACTTGTCGGCCCCTACGAAGCTGGGAATGAACCGGGAACTTGGATTCCCTTGAAAATTGTTTGTTATAAATGTGTATATAAATATATAATTATGATTATATATATATGTATACATATTTAAACATATATATATAATATCTAATATATATATATACATACATGTATGTATATGATATATATATATATACATGGTTTTTTCGATGTATATCATGTATATATTTATAATTACTTTAATGATCTGTAATGAACCTAAAACCTTGCGATGAATAGTGTACTTTGAACATGTTTGATGATTTTGCAGATGACTTTAAACTTGGATGTATCTTGTAGAAATGCAGCTCAACCAATGACTTTTCCCAGGGTGTCTAAAATTGGCAATGGGTTAATCTTAATCTGGTTCAATCATAGCAACCGACCAACTACCGACGTTGGCGTACATAGCAACCGTAGTTGAGGGGATGATCCCAAAATGACCTGATTCTTTGGAAAATCTGCAGAACCCCCCAATTTGGGGCTAGAAAACCTGTAAAGCCCTGAAGGTTTGTCCTTATACCAACCAATTCAACGATGATGTTCTGAGGCTCAATGTAGGCTCCAGGGCAAGGGTGAAACGATGGGACATTGTCCCAAATACTCCGCTAGATCGCTAGATCAACAAGATCATCAATGAAAGAGGACATACGTTCATCATTTACCCGCCCTTTTTGTTGGTTCCATCGTAGAGCTTAGGCGCTCAGTTCTGTTGTGATAGTGGTCTATAGGTCCATCACATTGATCACCTTGGTCGACAACGTAAAAATTGGGGATAAGTTCAAGGATCCTGCTTCATTGGCATCCCAGAAAGCATTGGAAAATGATGTAGAATGATGATTTTGCACTGCAACACCGCAACATGTAGGCTGACACCCTAACAAACGATGTAGGTTTTGGGGATGGTGACGGTTTTTAAGCTTTCTCTTTAAGAGGTTCTCCCTGAAGGATGATTTGAACCGATAATGCTACACCAGTTACGTGGTCTGCTTGGCTGTTTCAATTATGCCTTCTGTTCATGCTGATTTGGAATGACAAGCCTTGTCTTCCTTTCGGATTATTCAGTGGATTGTGCAACCACCAAGCAGTCTTCAATATTGTGAACTTACTTAAGAGTGAAAGCATTGTGTTTTGTACCTCACACTCCATGTGTAGTACACTTGTGGAAGCCACCAATAAGTTGACAGTAAATGGAATAGCGATCCCAAAGACGAAGCCCTGCCATGGCCGCTATGTGGCACGTTTCTTGTCAACATTTTCTCGTCAGATTCTTTGGTACTCAGGAGATTTCCTTTGGAATGATCCAGCATTTTGGAAGGTGGGATGACTCAGCTGAAAGTTTTCGGAATCAAATTGGTAGTGACAAAGAACTGCCCTTGATTTTCACAAAGGATAATATTACATAATAACAACTGGTATGGTGGTATAAAGGTGTTGATAAGTTGGATTTCAATGCAGTTATGGATAGAACCTTCATATTTTTCCCAAATATTGATTTCAACTGGATTTCAGTGGTGACAATGGTATCATCAAATCAGCCCAGTCAAGATCTAGATAAAACAATGAAAAAAAAAAGAGGAGCTGCACAGGTCACTACCACCCAGTTCGGTGTTTGATCCCAGATGGTCCCAGTGGGTTCTATTTCCGGCACCCTTGTGGGGATGATGGGTCAATTTGAAGCGATTAAAGGGGAACGTTTTCATCCGCTTTGTCAAAGATGAGGCATTTTTTTTTCTGCAAGAAAAAACCATGTGAGAAAGTGTCTGGCGAAAACACGCCATCGAAAAACACCACGAAAAAACCGTCTTCCAGGCACCGGACCTTGTTTTCGCCTTGACATATTTCCACCCCCTGGTTGAGGTCTATGCCGGTGTTTGCTTCTCGCGTGTCTCCCAAGTCTCGGATGCTGCCAGCTTGAGGTGCCGGAGAGATATAAACCACAGTTTGCGAACTTGAAAATGGCCCATTTATAGTTGATTTTGTTTATTCCCCACCTGCCAGGTGAGGGTTGTTAGATTTTATGTCAGTTGCCTCCTCCTTCTCCTCCTCCTTCTCCTCCTCCTCCTCCGCCTCCTCCTGCCTCGTCCTCCTCTCCTCCTCCTCCTCGTCGTCCTCGTCGTCCTCGTCGTCCTCGTCGCCTCAACTGCGACCCGCGATCCACAGTGTTCTCTGCCGGACCTCAACCACGACCACCCACGCCCAGTGTTCCCTGCCGGACCTCAACCACGACCATGCCGGACCTCAACCACGACCATCCCCGCCCAGTGTTCCCTGCCGGACCTCAACCACGACCATCCACGCCCAGTGTTCCCTGCCGGACCTCAACCGCGAGTATCCACGCCCAGTGTTCCCTGCCGGACCTCATGTAAAGATGGGGACCAAAGAAGGTGCAGAAGAAGTTAGAAAGATGTAGGAAAGAATGTCAGAAAGATATGCCAGATAGAATGCCAAAGATATGCCAGATAGAATGCCAGATAGAATGCCAGAAGATATGTAGGAATATATGCCAGAAGATATGCAGATGCCAGAAGATATGCCAGAAGATATGCCAGAAGAATGCCAGATAGAATGCCAGAAGATTTGCAGATAGAATGCCAGCCGAAGAAGATATGCCAGATAGATATATGCCAGAAGATTAGCCAGAAAGATATGCCAGATAGATATGTCAGAAGATATGCCAGAAGATATGCCAGAAGATATGCCAGAAGATATGTCAGAATATATGCCAAAAGATATGTCAGATAGAATGCCAGAAGATATGTCAGAATATATGCCAGAAGATATGCCAGATAGAATGCCAGAAGATTTGCCAGATAGAATGCCAGAAGATATGCCAGAAGATATGCCAGATCATTTGCCAGAAGATATGCCAGATAGAATGTCAAATAGAATGTCAGAAGATATGTCAGATAGAATGCCAGAAGAATTGCCAGTAAGAAAATGTATAAATGTCATGGTGGGGATCACACGAAGTAAAGTAATTAAAGATGGTGATTTTCCATAGCTATGTTAGTTTGCCAGAGGGTATGGTGAAACTTGTGGTTTTACAAGGTTGACTCGAAACTATTTGTTTTTAACACAGAAGATGTATATGTTGGGTTGACAATTTTAAGCAGTCAAAGTTGAGATATATGATGAGATTGAATTTCATCATCCAAAAATAAACAGTGGAAGTTCAACTGAACAAATGTGGGGATTTGATGAAGATTTCTTTGAACGAATATGGATAGATAATGGAAACTTCATATTAATAATCGCCCCCAAATTAATCAACACCCACATTCCAAAAAATGTTTGGCAATACTACTTGGGTCGGTCCCTGCCTATCAATAAACATGTGCGACCCGCCTCCTTATTTAAACAATACCCTGCTCAGAAATCCAAATTTTGTGGTAGCCAGGATCTACATATACATGTGTATATATATATATATACATAGATATGCATATATATATAATAATAATAATAATAATATATATATATATATATTATGTATAGTTGTTTTAATTGTTGAAAAACTAATGTCTTGAAGGGGTGTCCCATGCCCAATTTCACCATCCCACCCCATTGGGAAGGAGGTTGCCACTGAAAAGAGAAATCTGTACCCATTGGCAGGCAGGTTGTTTTGTTTTTTTTAACTATGACAAGCCCTAGTTTTTTTTAATTGGGGGGGAACTCGCACCTTCTAGGGGGGGGGTTATAAATACGAACTGGGCATTAGATAGTACAGTATATATAACAATATAACTTACTATAATATCACATAACCAGCTAACAAAAAGTGAAACCTTTGGCAATCTAACTTTGCAATAGAGAATATTAGAGAATATCCATTGCGCCAGAGAATTGACTTGCACAGGCTTCTTTTGCATTGCCTCTTTGCCATTTCAAGAGGGTAGACCACCGAACCGACATATGATGTATATACATGTATATATGTATATCTCAGTCACGCTATGTCAACGTATCATTGTCATTCATTGTCATTCATTGTCATTCATTGTCTATGTGATGGTTTTCCAAGTCATGTTCCAGCAAAGTTGCAACGCTGTACATTTGGCTTCGATATTGTTCTTTTTCTATGTAAAGGATGAACGTTTCAGGTTCTTCAACCGACATACTTCTCCAGCTGCCAGCTTGAGTGGATGATTGGGATCCAACATGTTCTCCAACATGCTGTTTTGAATCGCTACATATTTGTACTAAAAATGGATCAACCTGGGCCATAAATGTGTGGCAATTCATGGCAATTCCAAGATTTGATACATGTTGCCCCATTGAACTTTTTTGTGATATAAAACCAACCCCGTGTTGTTCCAAAAGGAAATCATAGATTTACTGCTGGAATTCAACCCCAGAACAAAGACCTGCTGCTGATGGAGATTTTGGAAGATCTTGGGAAGTGTCATGTCAGCAAAAGAAACGCCACTGTTGTCAGCAAACGGGAGTCCAAGCAGTCGAGTGGTCAAGCAAGTCTGAAAGTTGTGGATTCTTCGGTAATTAAACACCATCCACCAAGCAGCTTGTATCGCTCTGGATTGCAGTCGCGTAACTGGTGCATGTTTGTGTCACGCCACATCATGCAGAATGACATAGATCAGACCTGGTGGATGATTACCGGCTGGCAGTACTTAAACAATCTTAAAACAACACCGGCTGCGCAAATGTGTTGGCTATAGGCTATACGGTTATATCCCCCAAGTTCTTGTTTTTTTTTTTTTATGCACTTCCGTTATTGAATCATTCAATACCAGTATTTTCATGACATAAATCATGGGTCATTACATGTCCCCATTGAACATCACCCAACCATTAGGTATATGGTCTATAATGGCTACTATAAGGTGATGTCCAATATTCCCAAAATGGGACAGTTACCAACCCTTGTAAATCCATGTGTTGCATTCTTGTTGTAAGGATTTGAATGACCCCCACATGTCGACCCCACATCTCCACCCTCTTTTGATGCAGGGAACGCTTTCGCATTTGGCTCTTTCACTTGGAAGATGAGTGGGCGACCGACTTCCAGGAAGGTCTGTTACAGGCCGCTGGATGGGAGAGTGTGCTGGGTCTATGGCTATCGATAGGTGAGGGATGGGAAGCAGCATCCATAGGTCAAAATTTGGTCAGGACTACGCTTTTCCAAATCATTGACGGATGAAGATCCATGTGTATCCATTTGTAAGCGGCAATTTTGGTGTCAAAACCAGGGCTTTTGACCAGGACTCCTGAAATCACGAGGGCTGCTGCAATCCCATGTTGTGCTGCTTATTCATCGCTGATTCAATTGTATTCTTGATGCTCAATTGACCATGTTGCTACATGTGTGTTACTTCAATGATGAAGATTTCTACCATTGTTATTTCATTGGTTAAAAAACCGTTACTTGCACCCTACACAATGCTTGAAGCCACAAACCTGGGACAACTCACAGGAAAACCACTCCGACTTCGGCGCCAACTACCTGCAGCTTTTTAAAGATGCCAGGTGGAGAGCAGTCCGCGCTTCATTTCATGGGGATTTCTCCATGATTTCTCCATAAAAGTACGATGACATGATAAAGTATGATACTTGTAGGTTGATCATTGTTACAGCACCCAGTATATTATAGACTATTTTTTGAATATTAAAGAATATTTATATTAGATTGTTGACTATATGTTGAAATATGTTGAATATTATTTACTTATTCTCAGTTATTGGCTTATTCCCAGTCACATATATAGACTTATATAGACTAGAAACTTGTTCGGGAGACCCGATAACCCCAATAGACTATTTCCCAACATGGAATGACTTTTCAGGGGTTCTGTAAAATTAGTACTCTTTTGGGGATGATTATCATCCATCCGCTTGGAATTATCATGAAAACCAACCATTATATTTGGGATTTTCCAATCGGTGCTTGACACTAGTTAAGTGTTGATTCCAGTTCCAATTTGCTTGGACATATTCGAATTGACAAATTTTTGAAGAAAGGTAAACATTTCATGAATTCGCAGATTGCAAGATGAATCGTTTCATTCAAGAACAAAAACCGTGTTGGCAGAGTGTGCATGAAAAGCATTGGACGGTATTTCTATACTAGATGATGCTGGAGTGGCACAAGGTAGTTGAAAGTGCAAAGTTCTTTTGTTTACCAGGTGTGTGCATTAACTGATGTCAATGGAAACTGCCCAAAAAATTGCCGCGATGCCAACATATGCCACCTATTCCTGCAGGTACATCGCGTACCTTGGCTGCGTCCTGGTCATTTTCGGTACTTGGCAAATCACCCAAATCATCCAAGGACATATACTTGATGGGGCACCCATAGCCTTGGATCAGTCATAGCTAGACATGCTGGTTTTCTGGAATGTTTCGTGCAGATCGAGGCAGAGCCTCAATATTCTGAACCACTGGAACCTCAAAAGCTCAGGACATGAAACAAGTTTGGATGGTGACCCACTCTGCAAAATGCCTGGGATCTTGTGACTCTAGTGATGTGAAGGTCATGAACCTTGCATCCCGCCAAGGTCGGGTCTCATGCCGTGGGACAACTGCCAGCAGGTGGACTTGGTATGTAAAACTTATACCATCCCCCAACAGTTTGACATAGTTTGACCCAATAACTGATTGTCAGATGAAGGTAGTCTTCCATCCCCCTATCTGGCAGGGTTAAGCTATTCAGCTGGGGGATCGTAAGATGTATTTTAAAAAAAGCAGCTCTTGAATTTGGGATTGAACCGTGGAGTCAGAATGAGTCAGAGAGCTAAATGGGTTTTGCTATCAAGGCAGCTGAGAAGATTCAGCTACCTGCTAGCCTGCTGCTGTCACATGATTTAATGCCCTGGGGTGCCCTGGGTTTGTTTCTATTGATGAAAGAAACATAGAGAAACAAGATGTTTCCAGACGGACTCATTGTGACTGCATCAGAGTTCTTCCTTCGGGCCTTTGGGATCGGCAGGGCTTTTTCGAGTAATGCCCTGAGCATCACAATCTAATGCACCGGAGACAACATCCTAAGAATCGCTCTGGAGGCTTGCGAAGGCACTTCAGCTTGGATAAAGGGTGATTAAGTGTTATAGTCACTTATACGTGATATATTCTTTTATAATCTTTTATATCAATTTATATCAGCGTTATTGGCTTTTTTCCTGCCCATAGGGGATCCAAACCGCCCAAAAAAGGTGAAGACGTTTTCGGACGTGTCCTCGACCATGCTGCGGGAGTGCTCCGGCAAAATCCGGTTGGGCAACAGCCACAGCTGGGTCAGAACCCCGGTATACATCAGTAGTGTTGGGATATAAATATATAGATATACTGTAGCTGGCAGGGGGCCAAAATTCCAGGGATTGGTGGCACTATCTTGCTGAGTGAATCGGGCCCCACGGCTTTTCTGTTGGACAGTTGCTGACCTGGACGCTGAGGCAGGCCAATGTTGCGAGTGCGTGCGAGTCTGTATTGCTTTTTAAAGGGACAAACACAGTGATGAGGTTTTGCAGCTGATAGGGGGTCTTTGGAAATGGATTCTAGGGTCCTTGGTGATTTAGTTCTACCTCTGATTGTGTGATATATGTTTTCCATTATTTATTTCTTTATCTATCTTATCTATCAAGGTAGGTGGCCTTGGTATATACTAGTGACAATGATCCCAAAGGAAAGATCGTCTTGGGCTAGTGTCCCTTGGATGTTTCAATATATTGTTACTTCTTATCCGCCATTCGGTAATCATGCCAAGATGGGGATTGATAATTAGTGTCTCCATCCATTTACCCTTCTATTCGTGGAAGTGCCAGTCAGAACAAACGATCACCATTCGATCGTAGTTCAAATAGGTTTTTTTGGGTTGGGTACTTTGATAAAAAAAAAATATATATATATTATATATATATCAATATATGCAGCCGATAGGGGGTTTTTGGAATTTGATTCTAGGGTCCTTGGTGATTTAGTTCTACCTCTGATTGTGTGATATATGTTTTCCATTATTTATTTCTTTATCTATCTTATCTATCAAGGTAGGTGGCCTTGGTAAATACTAGTGAAAATGATCCCAAAGGAAAGATCGTCTTGGGTTAGTGTCCCTTGGATGTTTCAATATTTTTAATTCTTATCCTTCTTTCGGTAGTCATGCCAAGATGGGGGTTGAAAATTAGTCTCTCCATCCATTTACCCTTCTATTTGTGGAAGTGCCAGTCAGAACAAACGATCACCATTCGATCGTAGTTCAAATAGTTTTTTTTTTTGGGGGTTGGGTACTTCGATAAAATATAGAATATACTATATCTATGTTGTGCAATTGATCTGGGTTCTCTGGAAATGGATTCTTGGGTCTTTCCAACTATTTTATATATGATAATGGAATTGAATTGTTTTATAGGTACTTTATTATTTTCCCTATGAGGTAACCAATTGGTTGATTAAATGTGTATCATCTTACCATTGGTTATTTAATATAACTATTTGTTTTTTACCATACTCATAGAAAATTTTATGTGCATTATTATGTTCATTCTTAGGCAACCACTTGGTTGGCTAAATTGATATCATCCCAGTAACGGTTACGGTTATTTTATTTTATGATATTCCTTGGATTAACTGGGGTCCACTACCATTTCTGAAGGGTACCAACCAATTGCTGGATCAAAATGGAAAAGGTATCAACCACGCTCTTGTTTTTTCTAGGGTGGTGCCCCCATATACCTTTGGTATAAAGCCACCAATGTTAATGTTATCCCTGATTATCATTATTTTTTTTCAAGTACTAAATTTCCCCCATTATTTCTACATCTACATCATATATCCTTTAAATGCAATGCCCAACAGCTAATTTGCCGAAGTCAGGGCGCAGAAATCAGCACCCTGAGTTAGGAAAAAAAAAAAATTGACGATATCCTAGGTGTTTGGTGGGGTATTGCCTAAGTAAGGTCGCAAAAATCTGCACCTAGACTTGGGCAATACAGAGGTTGTACCCTGGGATTTAGGAAAAAAACAAATTGCCGATCTCAGGGTGCAGAAATTGGCATGTGGACTTGGGAAACAGCCCTACTATTATATTCTACCATGATTTTTGCCGCAGAGGATTCCGGGTCCTTGATTTTGAGATTTAGGAAAAAAAAAAAATTGCCGATCTTTTGGCTTGGGGGACCCCGTATCCGGCGCATCCGCACATCCGTCGCATAACAATATTTTATTTTATATTTTATCGAAGTACCAACCCCAAAAAAAAACCTATCTGAACTACGATCGAATGGTGATCGTTTCTCCTGACTGGCACTTCCATAAATAGAAGGGTAAATGGATGGAGAGACTAATTATCAACCCCCATCTTGGCATGACTACCGAAAGAAGGATAAGAATTAATAATATTGAAACATCCAAGGGACACTAACCCAAGACGATCTTTCTTTTGGGATCATTGTCACTAGTATATACCAAGGCCACCTACCTTGATAGATAAGATAGATAAAGAAATAAATAATGGAAAACATATATCACACAATCAGAGGTAGAACTAAATCACCAAGGACCCTAGAATCAAATTCCAAAGACCCCCTATCTGCTGCATATATTGATATATATATATGTGTATATATATATATAAATAAAATGTTTTATCAAAGTACCCAACCAAAAAAAAAACTATTTGAACTACGATCGAATGGTGATCGTTTGTTCTGACTGGCACTTCCACGAATAGAAGGGTAAATGGATGGAGAGACTAATTTTCAACCCCCATCTTGGCATGACTACCGAAAGAAGGATAAGAATTAAAAATATTGAAACATCCAAGGGACACTAGCCCAAGACGATCTTTCCTTTGGGATCATTTTCACTAGTATATACCAAGGCCACCTACCTTGACAGATAAGATAGATAAAGAAATAAATAATGGAAAACATATATCACACAATCAGAGGTAGAACTAAATCACCAAGGACCCTAGAATCAAATTCCAAAAACCCCCTATCGGCTGCATATATTGATATATATATATAATATATATTTATATTTTATCAAAGTACCCAACCCAAAAAAACCTATTTGAACTACGATCGAATGGTGATCGTTTGTTCTGACTGGCACTTCCACGAATAGAAGGGTAAATGGATGGAGATACTAATTATCAATCCCCATCTTGGCATGATTACCGAATGGCGGATAAGAAGTAACAATATATTGAAACATCCAAGGGACACTAGCCCAAGACGATCTTTCCTTTGGGATCATTTTCACTAGTATATACCAAGGCCACCTACCTTGACAGATAAGATAGATAAAGAAATAAATAATGGAAAACATATATCACACAATCAGAGGTAGAACTAAATCACCAAGGACCCTAGAATCCATTTCCAAAGACCCCCTATCAGCTGCAAAACCTTTGATGTATATGTAACATTATATTTCTTCCAAAATTCATTAAGTACTTGCACGTGAGAGAGCATCTGGCATCCCAATCTTACAGCCCTACCTGACCCTTTGTCATCCACACCCAAAAGGAAAACATGTCAAAACGGCAATTTGACCCTCTGTTCTAAATATGTCTGAGCAGGACGCTAGTACAGTACTATCGTATGAAGTTAACATATTACTATTCAATACTATTCAATGAATTTCAATGATACTACACGCCTATAAAATCCTATAGATACTTCTAAATAAGTAGGCTATGATGAGGTTGAGATGGATCCGATCACAGCTCACCAACCCTCAGTCCAAAAAGTACCTGAGAGAAGCCGCCGTTTTGTCAACGACATGGAGAAGGAAAATTGCTGTGCTGAGAGGTACAATCCCAAACAGTTGGATGAGAGATGGGCAGCCGAGAGTTTCATCTCGAAGGCGACTGGCTGCTTCAGCTGGACTGGATGCTTTCCGCAATGGGGATGGGTCAACTGACATTGAACAAGAGACCCTTTGTGACCCGCCTTGTTAGACATGTTGTCCACCTTTTCCGCTGGGACAGCTTACATTATTTTTTATTGGTCATGATATATTCGTTCGACTTTGAGGTGGTGGCACTCTGCCGTTGTTCCTCAGTTTTGAATCCTTGTTTGAGTGTCCCTCTCTCTGACCAGAATGATATTAATGATATTAAGCATGATTAATCCAAATTTACCGGCGGTTGGATCGATGTCAAGTAGATTCTACCCCGCAAACCTCCCAATGTAATGAACCTGTCTATAAAAGGGTATTGGTTTGAAAATGAGGTACCAATGAACCCACAGAATTGGCACTTTGGATGGTTTTACACAATCCAATTTTGTGGGTCATTAATTTTCACCCAAACCCATATTATTATCATATTTAGGTGACTTGGATAGATTTCAAGCAGATTGTACCGGTCTATGCATTTCCATTTCCCTCAAATCTCCTCATGAACTTGTCTCTATATAAGTTTGCCCAGAATAGGGTCCCCCAAAGTCCAACGGTTTGCTGTCATTATATTCTCATTAAAATTGTGATTTTGGGGTTATACACTCCTTTCTGAGCAAGCCCAACTCATATCCTTAGTTTAATGTTCAATATATATATATATATATATACTGTATATATATATATTACATGATTAATCCCATAAATGGATGATAATAATGTCTATCTAATGATCTTACAATATCCAATTTAATATGTTCATAATAACATTAATATCATGTTCATTCATTTTCTCTTAAACTTTCTTTGATTCTTTAATAACCATCAAAAAATCATGGGATCCCATCATAGTTTTGGTGTCCACGGCCAGGTGGAAGGCCGGGAAGATGTCTTCAGCAAGGATCAGGTGCGTGGCATCATCGAGGCTTTCGAGGAGCACCTTGGTCGCCGCAGAAAGAAGGGACGTGGATAGTCATGCAGAAATTCGTTTGGGGACTTAGCCAGAAGTTTAACATAACATAATATATATATATATATATATCAGCACTTATCAGCATAATATATATATATATATATTATCTGTAAAAACACCAACATCACCCAACATTTCTGCGGGTTTTGTGGTTTCTGTGGTTAAAGCCACAGATTCAACAGTAGGATAGTCATATCACCCATGGACGATGGGACGAAGGTCCTTAGAGAAGTCCATCCTGCAACAACACTTGGAGGCGGACGGGTGGAGACAGAGACAGTTCTGTCCAGGGGCAGTAGGGGTAACTAACGATGTAACGAATAGAATGGAATAACCAATGGGATATACTGGGACATAATTGGATATGGATATTGAGACACTTCAACAAAGCAACTATTTAACATGAAAATGGGGTATACCCTCCAAATGGCTATCAAATCATAGGGGAAAGTCATGATGAACCACCGGATTTGACCCTAAAAAACCACCGGATGGAGGACAGTTTTATGTGTCAGCCAAACTGTTTCAGGGTGGAAGCGGCTTAGAACAATGCCTGGACGCCGCTAGCTAATTTCATTCAGTCCACTGCCAGTTTTACCAGATTTGGTCGCAATCCAGTCTCCATTTTTTCCATACACAGGTCATGTGAACATTGAATCAGGGGTGGGTCAAAACCTATTATTATCAATTCTAATAGCATGAACATCCATAAATCCCAGCTATGACTTGGGGTTCACTAGGTGCCAGGGTTTTGACCAACAGCCAATTCAACTTTTGTTTGTTTGTTTGTTTTTCATGGTTGTTTTCAGGTATTTCGTACCCGCCATTGAGTCACCTCCCTAGGGAGTGGAAGATGCCCAGTGGGGCGAGCCAATTGCAGAGGGAGCCCAGGAGCCCAGGCCAAGCTTCACATGGGAATCCAGGCCACTTTTTTTCGGCAGTTCCGGGTGACCTGGTGAGATATCTGTGGTTTTTTCGATGGTACTTACTGTATATGCAGACGGAAATTCGCCGGAAGCACGCAGCTTTGTCAGACGGTCTTCGAAAGTTCCTTTGGCCTTGAAAAAACTTCTTGCTGACATCAACATCACCAGTGCTTTTCAACACAAGAGGCAGAAAAAAGTGATCCTTTTGAAGAAAAACACCCCCTCAAGAATCAGAGGTTTTCCTGCTGTTCAATTTGATAGCATAGCTCGGTTTGTGAGTCAAAGTTGAACATCAGGCATGGGTTGATAATCCTCCAGTACTTTAACACAGCCATTCAAATCATTAATCATCACCATTTTGTATAGGTAAATCCCAATTTTTGATGGGTCAATCACAATTTTTGATAGAATTTTATCGAAGTCAATGGGCCATTTCCCATAGCGCCAAACTGCTGTGGTGGCTACAAAATGCGGCTTAGCCTGCAGCCCTGAGGGCATTTGCTGGGGTTTGCTTCAAGACTTATATTATCTTATTATATTGACTGATCAATGCACTTATATATAATATACGTGTGTAATTATGTATATACATATACTATAATATATATATATATATATCACAATGTCGTACTTTTTTTTGGTGACGTATATATATATATATACACGTGTTTATTTTGCTGATCATGTTCAACTATACCAAAAAATATGATAGCTGTTTGTTTAATGATTATGATCATTATGATCAATCAGCATCATTTTGCTGCTTTTAGATTCTACATGTTCACATGTTATTTCCAGCAGTTTTCACGATAGTTTCCACGATCTTTTCCGTCCGAGGCTGAGTGGCAAAGCTGGGACTTGGAAGAAGACTCCGAGGCGAACTGCAATGCGAACAGCAATGTCATAGCATTGTAAAAGAGCGCATTACCTACATAATAACATACCATGATAATATCTTATATACAATCACTATAATGATTTACAATGATACATATATATATATACATAAATAAATATATACACAGTATCCATTTAACGATTTTTGGGCCTGATGGCTTGACGGTCAGGACTCCTTTGGCCTCGGCGATGAGTTGGGGCATCCCGGGGGCTGCTGTGCCATGAGTTGGGTCAGTTTTTTATGGGATACAACGGGAAAACGAATAGTTGATGTGTTAATGATGTGAATTTCTAAGTTAGTGAAAAATGGAGGTTTCCTAAGTCATAGTGCTACCCCCAGTTATCATCGTTTTTTTTGGGGATTTTCCATGAAATAAACTTAATAAACCATCCAGCTATTGGGGTACCATCATTTTTGGAAACCCCCACATTGGGAGAATAGAAGAAGCCTAGATTGGGAGAATATCATGGGTATCATGGGATATGTGTACACCTGGCAAAAAAGGGGAATATATGGGAATGTACTCCCAATTCGTGGCCATCAAAGAATGAGGAACACGATTTTCTCAATCAATGAGATGGAATGAGTTGGGCAATGCGATTCCCATCAAAGTACATGACTGAGACCGATGGCCATTTGCCTATTGGTTTGCAGAGTTTTTGGTAGGTCCAGGAGTCCAGGGTCAATTTCAGTTGTCTTCTCATCCCTCGTAACCTTGGGACGTGGTGGAAAATGATGAGATTGTGCAGAAACTGTGCATGTTTATAGACGCACACACACATATCCGTATACATCACTATTGAATACAATTGCAACATACTCATGCGTACCCAGTCGAAGCATCAGCTCCAGGGTCACTACAAACTTATAGGACGACTAGGAGGCCCGTATGGTTGGATGGAGTTCCCCTAAAAATCAACCCAGTGAAAGCAATCCCATCCCCCGTTCCCCTAAACCGTGGTGACTGTCGAAAAAAATCCGGGGATCAATCCACAAGGTAACGCCGACAGATGCGAAGAGAGACTTGGCCAACCGAAAGTTGGGCATGTTGTGAGCGCTTCAAAAAGTTGGAGGTTGTTCATGTCAACAGATGTTGAGCTGCTCCTTTTAACATTGAGCTTCTTGACATATCATGGATTGCAGTTGTTTGGTACCCAGGGCCGCGGATTTCTCACCCGGTGCCAAGAATTTGGTACCCGGTAGGTGCTAGAACTGGCTCGCCTGCATGTTCCATCCCTCAAAGAACCCATTTGATATTGAGCAAAACATGCCCATGTTTCTTGAAAGTAGGAAATAGTTCTTTAAAAGGGTAACACTTCCGCACAATATTCCGAAAAAAACACGTGGCAGCCTGGAACTAGACCTCTGTTCAAGAATTATTCAATCATTTTAGGTTGCACTCTTCCTTTCTGACAATACAGTATTCCTTCTCTAGGTAAAACACATCTGGAAATTATGAAACATGCCGCATGCCTGCAAACTGATGCAATGTTTTTTCACTGAAGTAAAGCCTCACCGGCCAATCAGCCAGGTATTTCCCCTCATTGTTTTCCTGACATGGGGTACTGGGGTACACCCCCAAACTGGCAATTTCAATACGGACAATCAGGAGCGACCATTGGATTCTTGGGTGTTCTGGTTTTGGGAATTTCTAGTCTAACCTGACATTCCAGAAAACATACCGTCTGCAGCAATACGGATGACCTGAGATTGAGAACGGCTGGTTTTTTGGATCCATGTGAACCTGCAGGTGAGTTTTTTTTCAAAGGGTAATGTGTGTAGGTCCCCAAATTGCTTTGCTATTACCAAGATGTTCATCCCATTCACAAGCAACACTGGCCAGCGAAACCAGTGTGCTTGTAAGAATTTGAATCAACCCATGAATTTGGAATCCTAACAAGACCAACTATATACCATACACCCAGTCAATCATCATCAAAATCACAATCTTTATCCTCATCCTAACCATCCTCATCCTAACCATCCTCATCCTAACCATCCTCATCCTAACCATCCTCATCCTAACCATCGTCATCCTAACCATCGTCATCCTAACCATCGTCATCCTAACCATCGTCATCCTAACCATCGTCATCCTAACCATCGTCATCCTAACCATCGTCATCCTAACCATCGTCATCCTAACCATCGTCATCCTAACCATCGTCATCCTAACCATTGTCATCCTAACCATCCTCCTCCTCCTCCTCATCCTCATCATCCTCATCATCATCATCCTCATCATCCTCATCATCATCCTCATCATCCTCATCATCATCCTCATCATCCCCATCATCCTCATCATCCTCATCATCCTCATCATCCTCATCATCTCATCTCGTCGCCTTCGTCATCATCATCATCATCATCATCCTCATCATCATCCTCATCATCCTCATCTTCCTCATCATCCTCGTCATCCTCATCATCATCCTTCTCGTCGTCTTCGTCGTCATCATCATCATCATCCTCATCATCCTCATCCTCATCCTCATCCTCCTCCTCCTCCTCATCATCATCATCATCATCATGACTTCTTTTGTGTGATATCCCTGTCTCATTTTATTTCTGTAGGTTCAACCTCCCTGTTCGACGTTTGATATCCCCATTTCGGTCAAACCTCTCCGAAAATGACTCGCCAAGGCTAACCGGGGAAGCAATGAAACATGTGGAGTGGACCATTTTCACAGGGGCAGATTTTCTCAACAAAGAATGGTAGACCAACATTAAAAAATACCCAACGCTCCATATGGGGGTATTATTGTAAATGGAGTTATTATCATCATACCCATCATCATCCTACCCCTCAATGGAGTTCAACCCATGTGGAGGTATTATTGTAAACAACGCTCCACCTTTTTTTGATAGAACGTATTGAAATTTGAAATATTCAAGAAATAACTTCATGTCATTCAATGCAACCAACCATCAGAAACGATGGTGGAGTATCTCTCCAAGAAACATGGGAATACAAGTGTATGATATGTAAATTTATATATTATATACATAATATATATATATAGATAGATACTATATATATATATATATATATTATACACATATATAATCCAGCTTGGCCACCCAACAGCAGAAGGGGTGCGAGGGTTCCATTCCGCTTCGGTTCCGGTGCTCGGGTTTGGCAACCACGTGACGCACTGATCCGAGACCCAAGCACTGCTACTGGCGATTAGATGCATTGAGAATTCATGGAATATAATTCTGACATATTGGGATAGAAGCAAACAAATTTGAATTTGAATATATAGTAACCACTCGTAGTGACGGATATGACCCCGTACCATACAATCTCGTTCTATATGGTAGCAACGGCATCATGGATGGCGGCCAAGGCCAAGGCCAGCAACGCGGCTCACGCAATTGTGGTGACCAAAGGGTGTTGCCCAATGCTTCGGCAATACACTTGGCGACAGCAAAAAAACATGGCGGCCGATTGCTTCGGCCTTGAACGCTTGTCAGAGCATTTCTTGTGTCAGAACTCCTGGCAGATTTTTTTTGAAACGAGCAATTACCTTCCGGTAATCGAACATGGCTAGCTGGAAAATCCTGGAGGTTTTAATTCAAAATCATCGAATAAAGTGAGCGATTTTCCAGCAAGCCATGTTTGATTGTTTGATTCCGTTTCATCCTATGATCAGAAGCCTCCTCCGTTGAATCTGGCTTTGCAGTAGGACGTCACAACGAGCGTCAAATTATAGTATATGCGTTACATGCGGGAAACCAACACAAACTAGGTTCATATATATATATAATTATATATATATTATGGCTATGGATCAATACCTATTAACCTATTAATACCATTTTTAGTGGGATGAACATCCATTTACCAGCTATTTTGATGTGAACTACAGGGGTACTATTGGTTTTGACACACTGCCATATTTGAGTGTTGTGTATTTCTGGTTGATTCAGCCAGCATATGATGTGCAGTCGTTTGAGCCATCGAGCAGCCGTCGTTTCGACAAGGTGTATGGTGAATATTCACAGCGGAATGTGGCAGCACTTAAGGTATTCAAAAAACATGATCTGAAGGATAGATGCTGGTAATGTCACCACACCACTTCGCAGGTGATTTCTATATACTATAATATGAATAAATGTATAATACTAGATGGATATACTATAATATGCTGCTATATATTCTATATCCATTATATTCCATTATATATATATATATATACATAAATGATATTTATATCCTATAAAAATTGTGTTTCATGTCATGCTTCGCTGCCGCCTGGGACTTCTTGTCCCACTTCTCTCAACGCTTCGGCTCTCGCCGTGATCGCCGTGCCGCTGGGATCCTCTTCACCGGCACCGGCAGCAGCTTCGCGCAGCCGCAGATCCGCTGCGTGCTGGGCGAGGGCGGGGAAGAGGGCTGTGTGTCCTGTAACCTGGCGGCTTGGGGCCGGCGGCTTGGGGAACGCCCTGATTTTTCGCTGCAGTTGAAGCAATGGAAACAAAAGTCTTGGTGAATGAGTATAGAAATATTATAGACTTTGTAGACTGAGAATATGTTAGTACAATATTATAATATTCTATATAGAATAATATTCTATACTCATTATATAATATGACTCAGTAGAATATGTGAGTATTGCACTGACCAATATTGAGGGAATCCCGTTCTCAAGCATCAGCTCCACCAACCTAAAGGGACGACACATGTGGAGTTGGATATGTTCTGGGGGATAAGGACAAGTGATATTGACCGAAATTGGGGATGTGAAACCATATGACTACAATATGTGTGTATATGTATGATGGGAGAATGCTAAGAATATTTGCTTAGATAATATAGGCACACTGAAACAAACAATCTGGCATCGGTTCATCTGAAAATTAGACGATACCTCCAATGTATGGCCATTTGAATCAGGAAAGTGATGATGCGCCGGTTGGATGTTGGGTAATATATACTCTATTGTCAGTTCAGAAATTGCATTGGAATGGTGACAGAGACTCGATGGTCCGAGGGCTAGATTAATCACTGGATATACCCTGTACCTGGAAATTATCAAAGAAATCACTGATGTTCAACCAAAAAATCAGGATAGAATATGATAGAATGCCGATTCTGAACGTAATCCAGTATGTCAACCGCGGATTTATGGACTTGTGGCTGGAAAGTCCCAAATTTTGGAATATGAAACATCCCTTTGACGACTGACCGCATGATTCCAGACTTGAGTTGGTCTGAAGACATGGTACCCCCATGAACCACTGGATATCAATGGATGCGACCGCGGGTCGCGTCGTATGGGTCGCAGGTCACGTCGCGGTGCGCAACGGCCGCCGCGATCCAAATTGGCGGAACAATGTGGGTCTGTTGATTCGTTGGCTCCATCCTGATGGTACGTGGCGACACGTGCAGATCGACTGCGGCAAGACCTTCCGGGAATCCGTGATGCTGTGGTACAAAGAACATCAGGCAGGATGGGGCTGGGGAAAGATTTATGAAATTTGAATCTGCATGAACGAAAAATATTGAAAGATCTCCCTAGATATCAGTGCCTTAAAAAAGAACAACAACAAAAACATATAATTATAGATCATATGATATATGAAGTAATCATGAATAATCCATGATTAAATATCATTGAAACAACATCTTCATAGATATATAATGTCTTTTTTTCTCCAGGATGAATGGTATCCATAAATTGAGCCCCAGGATTTGGGGACTCATGCCATCCCCATCTCTCTCTACTGGATCTGCTCTGTTGTGTAGAAAAAGTATGGCAAGTTTCCGCGCAAGTTTCCACACGAGAAAAGTGACAAGACTGGGGCAGTTTTGGTGCCAACGACTCCAGTGATCCATCGATCCTGTGAGGTTGATTTTTTGGATGCTCTTCTGTTGACTCACGACCATGCAGATGCCATTTTGGGTTCTGGCCTCAGTGGAAAGCCTTGGGAAAGTGATACCGGTAATCTAAGAATATGCTATGGAAGACCTCCACAGCAAAGGGTAAATCATGGTAATCATGGAAAATCATGGTAAATCATTGAGCTGCATGCCCATGGCAAACTATGGGTGTCGTTCCACCCTTCGCTGATGAAGTGAGGGAGTACCTCAAATATACGTCGAGTCAGACCTGATAAGCACACATGGAATGACATATAATACATAAAGCATCATAAAGCCATATGAAGCCTAGGGGTTCTAGTTTTTTTTTGGGGGGACTAACCATGGATACCATCCACTGCTGGGATTGTGAGGCCTGGACGAGTTGCGCCAGTTGCAGCGCTTTGACAATGCCACCAGACAAGTGTGGCTCGGCTCGACGGGGGTAGCCCAAAAGACGGGTAGTCCAGGGTAGCCCAAAATGACTGCTAAACACAGTGTGATCAGTGTGTAAGGAATGCGGAATTGTGTTGTATTACCATCTGGTTATGACTCACAGTTCGCCATGGAAAATCACCATCTTTAAGTTCGGTAAACCATCTATTTCTATGGGCCATCTATACCATGGCTATGTTAGTCATAACCAGAGGGTAGATAGAAATGTTTTTTTTTTTTATCCACCAGAAATGGGTGCATTTCATTGGAGCTTTTGGAGCGCAGTTGATTGTCCAGTCTCATCATCATTTATAATGATGGTCCTCAATGTGTGTATAAAAAAAATATGGTATCCTAGATGAAAGGGTTGGTCTTGGGTATATTATATATATATATTGTATATATTATATATAAATATTGTATATATTATATATATATTGTATATATTATATATATATATATTTATATTATGTATATATATTATTTATATATATATATATATTATGTATATAATATATATATATATATTATGTATATTATATATAGTTTGAAAGATGTTGGCAGGTTCTTTATACACATGACTGGCCAATCAGACAGGAAAAAGCGTTCGGGGTCGCGATTCAGAATCCGCTGGCTGATATTCAATCATGTTCAATCTCATTTTGGCCCTATGGATCCCAAATGCTCCTAATATCTCCTGAGAAGTGATTGTCCCACCCAACTCATGGCCTTTCTATCCGCTAGCTACGGCTCCCAGCGATGACCAGTTTTCCAGGACAAAACCAGCAGCCAAGGTGTGGCCCTCCCATCCAATGTTTCTGTGATGCCCGGACCATGCGGCACTGTCGCTACTTGACTCGAGGTCCTGGTAAGGTATAGGCCATTCAGAGCCATTTTGGGTGTACATGGGGACCTTGAGCCAATTCGATTTTTTTTCGTGAAAGATGGTAGTAAACGTACTAAAACTATGGCGTAACTCAAATTAATCGCAATTACATTGTCTAATCATTTTTGGTGTGTGTAAATTCAGGTAAATTGAGGATCTAGGTAGAATTGAAGGAGGCACTGAAGCAACAAGAATAGGGATTTGGCACAAGATATGAATGTAGACTGGAGAACAAATCAGATCGACGGATGAAGTGCAAAACTGATTGTTGGGTAACCGTATGTTGAACTTTCCATGCTCCAAGAATGGCATCGCAAAACTACACCCCAACTGGGTTGCGAGGTTTGGCCCGCGATGTCTTTCAATTGGGCCTGAAAACACAGTTGAGTCTGCAGCTCCTAGGGGCATTTGCTAGGTTGCCACAGGCGACAGTAGACAGATGTGTCAAAGATGTTCCTGAAGTGTGAGACATCACAGTGTCGCCACATCTAGTCCTGTCAGCAGTTTTTAAGGTTTTCCTGTTGCTCCCATAGATCTTTACGCGTGTGAAATCACTTGCCCCGTGCAGAGTCCACTTGTCTGGACACGATGGCAATCTCGAGGCCGTGCTTTTCCTTACTTGTTCCCTGGCAGCAAGAGCTCCAAAGAAGGGCTTATTGCACTGTCACGTGCTTGGTGCAACTGCTCTGGTGCCTGTGACATCGAGTGCAAAGATAACCAATTGAACTCCTTGCCTGGTGAAGTGAAGCGTTTCGTGGCAAGTGTTGACTGGAAGGAGAGATTTAAGTGGTGGGCACTGGCAGATACTGGCAGCACTGTTCATAGGGCAAGATTGCATTGATGTTTTCATAGTCCCTGACAAAAAACACACACACACACTTGTTACCAACATTGTCTTCGTTGATCGGGGAGCCATTTTTGCGGTATTTGTTGATTTGTTGCTTTAACGTTAGCAAAGCAGAAAGACCCTAGCTGGCGGCAATTCTCTTACAATTTATTTCACACTGGCTCCCACCACTGATCTCTGCTGAATTCATAGCATTGAAGCTGTTACTGAAAGAGTTGCATCAAATTCATCCTGGGGTTGTTGTAAGTCCAGGGTCCAATGTTTGGTTGGCACTTTTTGGTGGCTTTTCTGCAGTTTTCCCAAATCAGTGCGGTTCTGAGCCACTATTACTATTGCCTTTTGAGGGTTTGCTGTCCGGACCGAAGAGAGAAAATATCAAGAACAAATTGATGTGTTTTGATTCTTCAAAAATAAGTCGAAAACAAGATGTGGATGCTGCCTGAATCATTCCCCCGCTGCACTGACAGGAGGTGCCTGAAGATACTTCACCCTTCGAAGTACAGGGACTCATGATCCATGCCCTGCCCGTTTTGCATGGTGCGGACTATGTGCCTGAGCCATTTTAGCCAAGTTGTTTTGTTTGTTCGGCTCTGAAGCATGTGGAAAGAGGATGCTATCATTAGGATTCTTTAGATATTTGGAAAGATGGATTGGTTTGTTGACGAACTCATGGTGCTACACGAACTCTGAGCAACGTCAGGTGAGTTTTGGCTACGGTTTTGGGCCAAAGGGCTCTAGTTGCTTGGCGGAAGTCGAGATGGTTCTGCAAAGACTTCTATAATTGAAGTTCTGGTGATGGTCATTGACCTGAGAATGATTTATATAATTACCAACAAAAGTCAACAAACTCTAAGGAACAAATGATGGTGATTTTCATGAAGGATAATCATATAGAATCATAATGTAGTCACCACCAAGATCCAGTCGTGTGTGTCTCAAGTCCATGGTTTATTTGGTCCGCAACCTCCCGTGGATCGCCCGCAGAAGTCGTCTACATCTCCGACTACACGGAACTGCTGCCGAGAACGGAGACTCTACTGGAGCATTGGAGCCAGGATGGCATTGCAGTAGCCTGGCACGCACTGCTGCCGTAAGAATATGGTGATGGAATGTGATGGATTTAAACCAAATGGTACCTTGTTTTTCACAGCAAATAGGTATATGGATGTCCATCCCTAAGTTTGTTTACTTTTGACTGGATAACCCAAACTGGTTGGTGGTTTCAAACATGTTTGTTATTTTCCATAATATATGGGATAATCCTTCCCATAAGGTTTTGGCCCGAAGTGCCCCCACGGTTCGCGACGTTTTGGGGTTTTCACGTTTGGAGCCATTTCCTTAGTGGGTTGCTATCTTGCTTCCCACGGGTTCAATTGTCTTCTGAACCTTTGGTTTGGCAGCCACTCACTGCACTTAACTGGGCTGACTGGTTTGCCACTACAACATTTTCTTCTTCGTCCTGGTTTTTGCTCTGTGGGTATTGACATTGTCTATTCGCGGTGGGCATTTTTCTGGATCTTGGAGTCCCAGCTCCACAAAAAACCTGGGCTTTTGCGTGTGCTCTGCACTGATTTGGGTGCATCACCTTCCAAGGCTTCTGCAGTGTGCCTAACACTGGGTTGTTGCTGGCCTCTGCAGGTGTGCCGAACACCTGAGGGTTTACAACAAAGGGGTGAGCTCCCTCACATTTTTCACTGGCTCATTTTTGATTTCTTCGCATTTCAATTTTGATTTTGGTGACATAACGGGGTGAGCTCCCGACATCTGACTGGCTCGGATTTGCTTCAGCTGCACTGCTTTCTACCACGAAGTTGGTATTGGTGGATGTGCTCAGTTTTGTCTTTCCTTGCCATCACGATCATTGCATTTACCCTGATTTCTGATTACGTCAATCATTGTCTGGGCTTTGGATCGCTGAAGGTTTCTCATTTCAGCAATTTCAACCACGGCTACGCCCACTCAAAGGAGGGCCTTGCGACGTGGACGAGCAAAAGCTCGACAATTGTGGCACCTTCATCGGAAAGGTCACCATATCCTCCCTGTGAATCGATTGAAACAAATCTTTCGAACACTTGGTCAGCACCATTCTCGGGACCCTATGTTTTTGGCTCAGATTTCTGCAGAAATGACCTCAGAAGTTCTCGAACCATGGAAGTGCTTACCGTGCAAACGACTATGCTCAGGGCGACATCAACATTGCGCTCAATGTGGACAGCAATGGAAAACATGTGCAGATCCCGACTTTGTCCCTTACATGCGACGGTCCAGCAATCGACAGGTTCAATGGACGCAAGCACAATGGGAAGAAGGAGATTGGCCTCCAGATCAGTGGGTGCAGTCTCCCAGACGCAGGCAGTCGCCCAGGAGAAGGTCACGCCGACCCCAGCCCAAGCAAAAAACAGCCAAAGGCAAAGGAAAGGGAAAAAGCTTGGCCGAGCTGCCAAACTATGGACCGCAATCATTGCCTGCGATGCCCTCAGTGGATCCACCTTGGTTGGCTTCCATGAATGCAGCTCCTGCCCTAGGATCCAATGCTCCCCATCCGACAGTTGCTGGGCCATCGGAAACCAAGGAAGACAAGGAGCGCGATCGACAGATGAAGTCATTGGTCGCAGCACTCAGGCGCCACAAGGACGACCTGCCCGAGGACTTGCAGACGCTGGTGAAGGAGGTGACTGTGAGATCAGGGCAGGACGAGACGAAGCTGTTGCATTCAGCTGTCTCGCAGCACGGCAGAGCAAAGAAGGAAGTGTCCGAGGCACAAGCCGCCCGCCTACAGATGCATGCAGCATGGCGCAACTTCCTCGAGCAATCTGTCCAACAATGGACCCGCTACACGGCGCAGTTTGTCGAGCAGGAGAAGCAATTGATGGACCGCCTCAAGCAGGCCCAGGAGAGCTTGGCAGCCGCCAAGGAGAACCTTGGAGCTTGCAAAACCGCGGCTGGTCTCATGGACAAGGAAGAGACCGCGGTGATGAGCGATGGAGAAGAAGCCGATGCCAAGGACACAGAGGCCGTTGCAGGTCAAAAGATAGCTGCAAGCTTCAAGGATCTGGCGTCCAACCTCCAAACCCTCCACTCGCAGGCCGCACAAGCAGTCGAGATCGAAGCAGAGCAAGACCAGATGCGAAAACGACCAAGGACTGCTGCCACAGAAATGCCTCCTGGTCCATCCGAACCCAATCCACCGCCTTTTGGTGTGCCCGAGTGAATACCCATGCCACATGTATTGCTCCAGGGCCACCCAAGTTTCATGCTCTCGGGGATTTTTTCAAGCAATGCCTCCAGGTGCATGCAACGACCGATCAGCCGCCCATCGTTCCCGATCATTGCTTTTTTAATCCAGCATTGACATGGCGGCATTCAGTGTTGCATGAATCCGATTTTGTTGACCCCTGGACCGCAGCATCACAAGCATTCCATCTCGCCTTTGAACTAGGTCGCTTTGGTTTTGATGGGACCAATTTTGAGCCTTCAGGTCACGGTACTCAAATGAAAGCCGCAGGTCAGAGTTCATGCCTGACACTCCGTAGATCCAACAAACCTGTCCGGTCTGTCGAATTTTGTCCCGATGTCGACCTGTACATTGGATCCGAAGACTGCCTTAGGTTTTTTCATTTGTGTGTACATGAAGAAGTCCTGTATATGCCTGACAAACCATGGTCGATCGGTCAGTGTACAGACAATCCTTGTCAAGTCTCCCATGCCGAAGTCCCACCCATGTCCAGTCGTTCCCAATGCGAAGCCATTGATTTTGCCGACCACAGTGGGTGTAGGAAATCGTTTTCCACCGATCTTGGCACCAATGATGTACAGCTGTCGCTCTGGCCGCCATGTGTTTCGTATTACCAAGCATTTCATGAGGCTGACACGAGGTTTTGTAGTCAGGTCCCAGATGCTGCACAATCGCAACAACTCATGGATCGACCTGGCACTTTGCTCGCTGTGACCCCCAATTTGATGTTGGACAATTCCACTTTGTGTCAACAGGATGCCATTTACTCGCACTCCAAAGCATGTAGTTCATGGATATCCAATGTCACTAATGTTATGTCCACCTCTATAGCTTATTCTAATGTTTTTTAAACTTGAAAAAAAAGCCAAAAAAAAAGGAAAACACATGGAAAATCAAAGCAAAACTTCAAAACCGAAAAAAACAGGAAGCAAAATAAATGGGAAAAAAAAGGAACGTCAAAAAGGGGGAAAAATGGGAAAAAAAAGGGACTTGTCCATTTGCATTTTTGTTGCTTTTTCGATTTGCTTTTTTTTTGCTTTTGTTTTGCTTATTTTTTTGCTTTTTTTTTGCTTTTTTCCAGGCAAAAAGCAAAAAAAACAAACAAAAAGCAAAACAAAAGCAACAAAAAAGCAAATCGAAAAAGCAGAAAAAAAGCAACAAAAATGCAAATGGACAAGTCCTTTTTTTTCCCATTTTTTCCCCTTTTTGTCTTTCCTTTTTGTTTCCTTTTTTTTCCCTTTTATTTTGCTTTTGTGTTTTTTGGATTTTGCTGATTTGCTTTTTGTGTTTTCCATTTTTTTTGCATTTTCGCGCTTTTTTTCAAGTTTTAGAAAAATAAGAATAAGCTATGGTTTGGTGAACATAACACTAATGTGAATGCAATTGTTGACTACAATGATTCACCTTCATCTCAGGAGATTGAAATCTTGTCACACCTGAACTCCCCGACCCAACGTTTGAAGCCGTTTTGTGAGAAACATGCCGTAGACGATTCAGGCTGCATTCCATGGTTTCTGCGTTGCAGGCGGGAGCATGAGAGTCCAATCCCATGGAATCATCAACCACAGCTTTCTGATGATGAAGACGATGACGAGGATGACCGGTTCCCACAAGATGACCCCCCTGCAAATCCAGCCTTCCTGCAAACACTCATTGCACGTTTTTCACGGCTGGGCCTCAACGTCCACAGTGGTGACTTTGAGATACCGTTGCGTACCTGGTACATTGATCATGTTAACATGAGAAGATGGACAGCGCCACGCATTTTGCAGCTTGTTGGGCCACCGCAGGGATGGGAACATCAATTCAGTTCCTTGTGGGTTGATCAAATAGACCCTGATGATTGGTTCGATCTTACCATCGTCAGCCCTGACCCCCCTCGTCCTGGGAGGCACAGCTTTGTCATGATGGATATCATTGTCACCCAATCCCTTCATATGGATCGTTTTGCAGGCTTAGTGACCGTCATGCCGCAGGATGTAGGGACTTTTGACATGTTTGCTGTTGCGTACTCCTTTGCTGATTTCATCAGTGGGTTTGACGTCATACTTGCAGCCGATGCCGCCAGGTATTGTCGTTATCATCCATGCACTGTCACGTTTGGGTGGGACGATATCCCCAACACGTTGCAACCCCAGCATGTCATGAGGCACGGAGACGGTTTTCAGTTGTTAGTCCGTCACTCCCCAATTGCCCTTGCAGAGAGAGCCAGCGGTAGTCGTGACGTTCCACAGGCCACCAGTGCCACAGCATCCGATGCCAGCCCTGCCGAACCTACGCCTTTGTTACCAAGCACGCCTGAGCATCCAGCTCCCAATGACCCTACCTACCGAAGGTTTACCACTCCCCTGCACCTGTTTCAATTTCAGGCCCATGAAATCATCGTTGAATTAGTCAACGCCCAGCTTGCGCAGCCGTCCCATGAAATTGCAGCTGCCGCTGGGGTTCCCTTTCAGTGCCTTGAAGCCGTGCATCCGATGTTGGTCAAGCCCTTAGATTTTCCCGAGATGGCAATCCCGGCTATCCTGCAACGGGTTGGTGACGTGCCCCTGCATTCCACCCAAAGGCTGATTTTGATCGATGTGGTGTACTTTCATCATCCCGACATCGCACATGCCCCAAACAGGCCCACCATTGTCAGAACGGTTCATCGAGTTGATCATCATGTGGTCAGACCACAACTTCTGTTAGTTGCAGCAGTGCTCCATTACTGTGAATTTCTTCAGGATGTGTGTGAGGTCACCCTTGATGATCGTACTTGGCCCCGGGCTGAAAGCGAGCCTCGACCAGTGAGACATGGCTCATATGCCAAAATCGTGGTCCCACCCCCACAGGGATACGAGGTTGACACCATGGTAGCCGCTGATGCGTTGCACACTGACTCACAAACAGACGCCATCATGGACCTATTGGGTGACGACTTCAGTGATGAGGATGCTGCCTTTTTGACCCAGGTCACAAAACGCCGCCTTTTTCCTCGGTCAGTCACCGCCCACCTTCGGGACATTTTTGACCATCGTCCTTTTGACCCATGTTTGGATTTGAATGAACCATCCCAGACAAGTTCAAGGCAGGACATGACGTGCAGACCATCCCTATCCACGGAATCCACCCTTAGGAATGGCCCTGAAACTGACCTGTGTGCAGCCCGCCAAGATGCGTTGCCTGATTCTGCCTTGGGACCCAAGCTTGCATCCGGTCTGTCCCATGGTACAGTCACCCCCGCTGACACGGCCTGTGCCTTACCCGTAAGCTGCAAGCAGCCTACATTGTTCATGTATTTCAGTCGCTCCCCTCAAGGTACCCAAGCCGCCCTTGAATGCCCGTTACTTGACCGTAAATGCAATGAGGCACATCAGCAGGAGCCGCCTGCAATCATGCAAGCAATCCCCCAACCGTTGCCTCAGGCACCCAACCCCAGGCCTCGCCCCATTTGGCATCTTGAGCTGCAATCCATTTTTGATGAGCTTGCGACTGTGCGTTTCCATGAAACCGGTCGAACCTTGTTTGTCAGTGTGTGGTACATCCATCATGGTCGGTATGCGACATGCCATGCCCCACGCCACGTTGAACTGGATGACACCCATGAACTTTGGTACGCAGACTTGTGCAATGCATGGTGGGATCAAATACAGCGCACGATGCCAATGCGGGTTTTGATTGTCAAGCCAAACCCCGATAACCAGCTTGCGCCTCGCGCTCAACGGCACATCATTCTTGAGCAAGGTTTCCAACCTGACAGAGCTGCAATCATTTTTACTGCCATCTTTCTGGCCAATTTCCGAAATGGGATTTTCCAGAAGGCTGAGTCAGTTGATATTCGCATCTCTGCGCAGTATATCATCGACAAATACGACTTCAATGTTTACTGTGATTTCAGGCCTTGCACCTTGACTTCGGGTATTATGCGTTTCCACCAGCATGTCCTCGAAGAGATTTTTTCTGGTATCAGTGTACAGCTCGTAGTTGGACCCCCCCACAGTGCCAGGTCAGCTTCGTCAAGTAGCCTGCCCATGCCTCATGTAAGCAGTGACCAAACGCACGGTGACCATACTGAGTTCATGCAACGTGCTCGACGCTGGCAACGCCCCCGGCAAGAGACACTAGGTTCGGCAGCAGCCTCAACCCCTGCTGCTCCCAGCGCTGGGACGGTGCAACAATCACCAAATGCACTCCCATCTGTGATGTTAGCCGATATGCGTGATTTCAGAGCCACCTTGCAATGGATGGTTCAGCAGGCTACTGACGCTTGCCTTGATACAGCTGATGCTCCTGTCCGGATCCAGACCTGGTTCCTTGATTCAAACCGTCGGTCGCGCTCTGAAGAGCCGAGGTCCATTGTGCTCAGACCATTGCCACACACATGGGTTCCTGACATCATAGCCCGCTGGCGTGACGAGATTGATCCTCATGTGATTTTGCACTTGCATGTTGTTCAGCCTATGCCAAGCGCAGGTACTGATGACATCCATGCTCATGTGATTTTGGTGCAGAACCCCAACGATTTGTGGAGGGCCGCCTTAGTTTCCATTGTGTATTTTGATCAAGATCCTTGGAACCCGGCTTATGTCGCCACGATGTTGGATGCTGAAACCACCATTGAACAGATTGCCTTCAGAACACATGTTGTGCACCCTGCAAACCCCCGGGCCCAGCACTTCCAGGTTGAAGTACGCCATGCGTCTGTCACCTTGGATAGCAGGTCTCCTTTCCATGTCCGAGACGGTTACCATTTCGAGCTGGTCGTTTTTGACAACTCCGATCCATGGGCTGACAGTGTTGCGTTGATTCAGATGTCCTTCACCTCCATCAAAGCCAACATGAGGGACCTGCATAAACAAATTGAGTGTGCGCAGAGGCAATGTATGATCATGCCCACACATCAAAGCCAATCAAGTATCGCTGCCATTTCTATTACACAAGATCCCCGCAACCCTGCCGTTGCCTCCCCCTGGGACAGCCTACCATTCCATGGGTATCTACAAGCACTTTGGCAACCCCTGTCCCTCCTCTCCCCTGATGCCACACGCCCTGTGGTTCGCGTGACAACTTGGTATCTTGATCACATCAGGTACCCTCAGAGCTTTGAGGCCAGGGATGCTGGTCTGACTGGGGATCCCCATGGTTGGTTGAGGCAGATGAGGAGGCTATGGTATGACGTGATACTGCCGCATGATCCCTTGCACTTCCATATCGTTCAGCCCCATCCACCCAGCATGCAGATGGATGTGGCCGCCCACATCATCCTAGTCCAGCAGCCGGTCGAAGGATTCAAATCCGTCTTGATTACTTTGTTCGATTCTGCCTTTATCGGTGAACAGGTTGATCGATTTGCCACCATGGCCCCTTCACCCATCACTTTTCCTACCCTGGTTGGCCTAGCTTACCGGGATATCGATTGCCAAGACCCTGCCAATACATGTGATGCCTGGGTCGGTCGTGAAGAATTGCACCCCACCGCTCAGCGAGAAGTGATCAATGGCCACTCACTTGTCGTGTCGGTCCATCGTGGAGTCTTTGCCCCGGAAGGTGCTGGTGACCCATGGCAGTCAACCATGCCTAAAGCATGTCCACACCACAGCAAACGACGGTCGCAGGAACATCCAGTCCCCATTTACCTTGATGCTTGTTTACCTGCCGATGATGTTGCCACTCCGCAGTTCCAGGAAGATGCATCCACTATTCTATGGTTTGCTAACTCCAATTGGAAACGCACGGTCGCAGAATCTCTTGGTAATCACCTGTGCACAGTCCCGGTCGACCTTTACCTGCCGGAGCCCACATGTGAAGGCATCATGCAGAGCGTGTGTGCGCCGTTTGACCCTCATGCACACCCCATCTATGAAATTTACATCGATGGTGCCACAGGGTCTACCCATGCAGGATGGGCTGCCGTGGTTGTTGCCTGCACCCCTGATTCCCGCAGACTTCTAGGAGTCACAGGTGGCACAGTCGAACTCTCCCCCAGCGCGACTCAATGGGTTGGTGCTGATCGCCCAGACAACATTGCGGCCGAGCTCACTGCCCTACTAGCAGCGCATGCCATCATCCTACAGCAGGATACTGTGTCCCAGTTTTGCATCCGACCTGACTTGAGCCTCAGCCGCATCATTGCCCAGGAGTTGTCAACCACCAAGGCGCACCCAAGACTAGCACAACTCTGTCGTGTTGTGTCCTGTTGGAACAAGGCGAAGGCCCACTACCTTGAGGTCAGGGGTCACACACAAGACCCCTGGAATGAACTGGCCGACGCAGTAGCCAAGTATTGCACTCAGCCAAACAGATCCTCTGCCTTTGCCTTTTCGTTTGCACAATTGCATGCGTTGGCAATCGAAGCCCATGATATTGCCTGGGACTGGCTCCACTACGAGCAGCCTGCACTGAGCGCTTGCCTACCCCCATGCTTTGATGAAACCGTCGTGCAAATCACAGCATGCCAGCCTCCCCAACTATTGCCTGTGGCAGCAGTCGCAGATGAAGACCCGCCTCAGGCCTTTCATGTCAAGGTTGCTACCATTAATGTGCTTGCACTTGAGCATACCGAACAACACTCCGAGGTTGGCAGACGCCAAGGAGGGCGCACGGCCAGGATTGACGCCCAGTTCCATGCTGCTCACATACATGCCGTTGGCCTGCAGGAGACACGCACAGCTAAGGGAAGATTCCAAAGTGAGAACTATCAGATCCTAGCGTCGGGCTGCCAGACCACCTCAGCTGCACACCTTGGGTGTGAACTTTGGCTTCATAAACAGCTGGTTGTGTCCCACCGAGCAGACGGCACACCCTTGAGGCTCAATGACGGTCACATCACTGTGCAGGTGGCCGACCCAAGGCGCCTCATTGTCCACATTGACTTTGCCACATGCACGTGCACTTTTGCTGTGCTACACGCCCCATGCTTGCAAAAGTCACAGGGAGACGGCCACCACCCCATCGAAAGGATCCAACATTGGTGGTCCGAAACAACTGATATTATCCGAAGCCTGAGCCCATCCACTCTTATGTGGGTGTGTATCGATGCCAACGCCGCTTTAGCAACTGAAGAAACACAGTTCTTTGGGATGCATGATGCTGGTCGGGCTACCCCCCAGACAGAGTGCTTCGAAACCTTTCTGCGCGAGATCCAGCTGTATGTGCCTTCGACATTTGCCCACATCCACCATGGACCCTCGCACACCTGGTCGCATTCCAATGGCAACCGCCACAGAATTGACTATGTTTTAGCCAATCAGGATGCCTTCCAGCTCACCAAGCGCACAAGTGTCATGTTGGACTATGATGGATCCTTCACGCATGATGATCACATACCCGTCATCCTGGAAGCTGAAGGCTGGGTACGCATCACCGCCACACCTCACAAAATCAAATGGGACGAGGATGCCATGCTAGATCCCACCAGATGTGCACAGTTCCAGGAGGCCCTGGCCTCCCTGCCCCTGCCAACCTGGCAAACGCACCCCAATGACCATTGCCAGATTTACGAAAAGCAACTGTTGGCTTTAGCAAGGCAGTTTTTTGAACGCAAGTCGTCTGCCCGGAGGCGACCCCAGCTCTCCCCATCAACTATGCAGGCCATTGCCATGAAACGCCACGTCCTTGATTGTGGTCGAGCCTTTCACCTCATGCACGATCCGGAGTTCAAAGCAGAACTGAAGGCCCTTGAAATCGATGTCAGGTGTCGTGTGCGCAAGGATCTTGCCTTCTTATTTGACCAGATACTGGTAAGACTACAAGACGCTGGACTTGCATCGGATTTCAAGGCTATGTATGGAGCCGTCACCCGACTGGGCGGCAAGCGCCACAAGCGCCCTATGCCTGCCAGGCCACTGCCCATGCTCAAAACTCCCAATGGTGCTCACGCTCAGACCTTTATGGAGCAACAGCAAATATGGCTGGATCAGTTCTCTGCCATTGAGGCTGGTATCGTCCTGTTGCCAGAAGAGGTCACCGCCACTCCTGCAAACCCATGCATGCCTATTGACACGCAACAGCCTCAATGCTTCCCCACAGCATGGCAAATACAGGCCGAAGTTGCGAAGCTCAAACGTGGAAAAACACCAGGGCCCAACCAAATCACCCCGTCCGTCCTTAAAGCTGCTGGCCCCGTGTTTGCAAAACAACTTGCTATCTTGACTACAAAGGCAGCAGCACATGCAGTTGAGCCTTTCGCATGGCGAGGAGGAGTATTGGTGCCCCTCCATAAGGGGAAAGGCCCACCAGATGAGCCGCAGTCTTACCGCTCCATCTTTGTGTCCAATTACACAGGTAAGCTCTATCACCGGGCAATTAGGGCGCAGCTTGAAGCTGTTTGGGAAGCAAAGATATCCTCCCTCCAACTGGGGAGCCGCCGAGGAATGGGCACAGACCTCGCCCACCACCTACTTGAAGCACATCAGGCTGCATGCTATGCCAAGGGTCTACCAACGGCTGTTGTCTTTTTTGACATGCGTGCAGCGTTTTACTCTGTCCTACGCCAGTCGTTGATGCACTTGCCACAAGATCCCACCGCGCTTGTCCACGCACTGCGCAGGCTAGGGGTCTCCCAGCAAGACATCCACCAGTGGATCCAAGCCACGGACGACGACAACGCAGCTGAAGGCGCATGTCTGCACCTCCAGCATATGGTGCGAGACACCATGAGTCACACGCATTTCCAGGTTGCCAATAGACCCGAACTCTGTTGCACCACCCGGGGCACTCGCCCTGGAGACCCGCTGGGGGATTTGCTTTTTAACATGATCATGCGCTTGATTTTGGAGGATTGCAGGGCTTCCTTTCAGGAGCATATCCATTGTACATGGATGGGGTCACCACTACACCTCCATTCCTTTGCTTCTGACCAGGCCTTTCCCGAGGTTGGTTTTCTCGACTTGGCCTATGTCGATGATGCTGCCATAGCCTTGCATGCGCCCACGCTTGACCAGCTGGTCCCGATGATCCAGCAGGCTGCGGTAGCCATGAACCAAGCCACACAAAAGCGAGGCATGCAGCTCAACTTTGAAAAGGGTAAGACAGAGGCACTGTGGGCAATCCGAGGCAAGGGCTCCAAAAGCCTGAAGCTCCGCATGGCCGATGATGATGGACACCTGTGTTGGTCTGTGCAGGACACCCCCTTTCGACTCAGTGTCACGCAGAGCTACAAACACTTGGGAACATGGCTGCAGGCACCCCCTCGGTGTGCCAGAGACATCCAAGCACGAGCGTCCCTTGCCAAATCGGCATGGGGGTCGCTCGCTAAGCCCATGTACAGTAAATCGTATGTTGCGCTTCACACCAAGATGCAGGCCTTCCAAGCCTTATCCATGTCCCGCATGCTGTATAATGCCCATACCTGGTGTACAGCCAGTGAGGACGACCTGCAAAAATGGCAAAACCACCTGCGCAAGCCGTTAGGTCTCATGGTTAAGCACACGCTCATGGGCACGCCACCCACCCACCTCGACACAGGGGACCTGTTTGGGATGGCCGACCTGCTCCCACCCATTGATCAGTTGCACCTGGCCAGGTTACGGTACTTCAAACGGTTGATTCAGTATTGCCCCCAAGCCCTTTGGACTTGTCTCACCGCTGCACTTGATGCCCAGCACTCCTGGTTAGATGCTTGTGCCCAATCCTGTGAGTGGTTCACCAGATTCTACCCGCATTCCTTTGGTCCTTCTAATGCAAGCTCCGCTTGTGATTGGATCCCCTGGATTGCCATGGATGCTAACTGGAAAGGCCGCCTCCGTGCAGCGGCGGCAGCGTGCAAGCGACACCGCCGCGCAGTAGCTGAGTACCACATTTGGCAAAAGCGGTTTGATCGGACCTTCCTTGCAGGAGGCGGTGTTTTGCCTGTCCAACAATCCGTGCAGACTGAAACCTGGTCATGTGACCATTGCAACAAGACGTTTGCGAGCAAGAAAGCTCTTGCCACGCATGCCAGCCGAGTCCACGGATACCGCAGGATCGTCAAGTTCTATGCCATTGGAAATACTTGCAATGCCTGCTGCAAATGTTACCACTCGCGGCAAAGGTTCATCGAGCACCTGAAGTTTGTCCCTTCCTGCCTGGACACCATGCAAGCCTGTTTTCCAGCGTTGGATGACGACACGGTGCATGCCCTCGATCAAGAGGATCAAGCCCACGCGCTGGCCATGCGGCAGCAAGGTTGGTGGGCCACTAAGGCCATGCAACCGGTCCGCAAGCTTGCAGGGCCAGCCCTCCCCCCTGCCGGATCCAATGATGCCGCAGTTATGAAGGGTAAGTGGGAACAGAGGCTCCAAACAGCTGGCACTGCATTTCAAAACCTGCAAGGGAGACGCTTGAACGAGCCTGACTCTGAGCCTCAAGTCGTTCTCTTCAGCGATGACATCCCTGCATTTGTATTCCAGTCTGAGCGCGGCCCAAACCACGGTGATGGCAGATATGCAGTAGGAGGGTTGGCAAGAGAGCACGCCAGACTGCACATTAAGACACTAGTCTTTGTCCATGTGTTCTCAGGGTTTCGCAGACACCATGATCTGCACCACCTGCTCGAACACCAGGTTTGGGGCAACCTTCATTTCTTTGTGTTGTCAATTGACATGTGCATGCAAAAGATCGAAGGTAATCTGGCATCATCGCAAGCCTTTGAGTTTTGGAAGCACCAGATATCCACCGGACAGGTGTGCGGAATGGGCGGTGGACCACCATGTGAAACCTTCACGGCTGCGAGGTTGCTCGAGGGTGGTCCGCCACCGCTCCGCTCTGGATCATGGCCGTTAGGCTTTCCAAACCTCCGTCAACGGCAGTGGCAACAATGCATGGTTGGCACCAGGTTGATTTGCTTCCTTGCCGAAGCCCTCCTATGCCTTGCACATACTGGTGGTGCTGGTTTCCTCGAACACCCGCAGTTCCCGTTGTGGGCAAAAGGCAAGGACCCAGCAAGCATTTGGAGCAATCGTGAGATCCGACTCCTTCGCACTTTAGCTTGTGTGGGCGTGACGTCATTCGACCAGTGCACCGTCGGCAGTGACGCTGTCAAACCCACCACCATTTTGCATGTGAGACTCCCGGAGTTGAGAAGACTCCTCCTTGGCAGTGGTTGCAGCGGCCGATGCAATCACGGGCCCCGTGCACATGAAAGAATGGCAGGGAGAGACGAGGCAGGTGTTTTCCGCACGGCACGTGCAAAAGTTTACCCTGCAGGGCTCAACGCAGTCATTGCCAGGGCAATTCACACTTTTGTACAGGGCACATTCGACGGATGCGACATCAGCCCCTCGATGCCCACCGATTTTGACCGGTACGTGGTGACAGAATTTGTGCCCATCGGTATCGTACAGCCTGATTACCATGGGTAATGCACAGGTCCCACAACTGGTCTTTTCACCACTGCATGGTACAACACCAGGCACAATCACGTGCAGTACCCAGAAAGTGAAAGTAATCCTTCCCATTGACTAATATTGTTCAGAGGGGGTGAAACCACCAACCAGCAAACAATTGTTAGAAATTGTTCTTCTTTTGGGTTCACTATGGAAGATGGTTTCTCGAGTGTGTTCACATCACAGGGCAAGTTGCCACGCATTGCCAGAACACGTTTGGCGGAACCGCCGGAACCTGCAAGGCCGAGCACATAACTATTGGCATACTGTGTATTGATGTTTAATACATAAGATATATGAATATATATTATCTAATAAATATAAATATAAATATATATAATATATTATGTATTGCTATATATATATATTGCTATATACTACATGATGTACATGATGTACATGTAGTTATTTTATTATATATAAACACCAATGCATTGCCAGGTATAGTGACAGGCGATGAGTTGCCGAAGCTGGATACCCCAAGACTAAAATCGGTACCCTTCGGGGTCCTCGAACATGGCTAGGAAATAGCATGAAATAGCCTATAAATGGAGGTAGAAATGGTTGAAAATCATATGAATTGGAGATAATCTATGACTTTTTTTAGGGTCTTGATTTTCGACTAATTTTGACCATTGCCATACTTGCTAGGATATGATATACCCGTTGCATCGTGTTACAATTTGTTTTGTAGAATAATTTGCATTGGTCCTCTTTGTTTGTTTTTCACCTATATATTCAGACCCGCTAGTAGCCGGCTAGACAACCATTTGATCGACTGCCAGGTGTTTATGTTTAGAATGCATGTTCACAACAAATAGGTCCTGCAGTCATACTGCTACATCCCATATGGATCCATATCCCCAGTTTTGTTTGTTGAAACTTATATGTATGTCTGTGATTGTGACTTGTCATCGAGATTTCCAATTTCTGGCAGTCAAAGCCTCTGACTGCATGGTGTTTCAAGTGATCATTAACATTCATATTTCTGGGTGGTTTGCCGCTTTACTATTTGGTACCCCACCCAAATGCCGATGCTACTGTTGTTATTATAATATGGTCATCATTATGATTGTAAACAGACATTGCTTGTAACCTATTGCTGGTACCCCATTAGAGTATTATTATGAGCCGTTTCTATCGGTACCTAGTAATTGGTCATCAACTAGTCATTATTGATCATCAGCTAGTCACTATTGATAATGTGTGTGTTCTTGTGCATGTGAAGCCTGTAACTTGGATCCTGCAAATCACTGCACAAAAAGTCAGGAAGTGGGTTTACGATCCAGATCATCCTGTTGCAAGGGGCTACATTTAGTGGTTGTAATATGTCCCATAGGATCCATGTATGCTATATATGGTAACATTTACCATCAATATACCCCCAATGTTAGCATATATACCATACATGGATCCTATGGGTGTTGTAACCCAGTTCCAAACCTCATCGAATCACTCTCCACAATCGTCAGAGCTCAATGGAGACGGCGTAGATCCCTGTTGTGCGGAAAATTCAGAAACTTCGAAGTGTTCCCGAAGAATTATCTGTTCATTCTTTCTGTATCTCAACAAACATGGGGAGAACGGTTTTGGGTCAGTCCCACAGTTTGAACGTTCGGCCAAAAAATGCACCACGCGGCATTGGTACCAGCAACATACAGTTCCCATATCTTCCCCAAGAAGGAGCCTGACATTTCCATGGTGGCATCCCCTTTTTTTATTGCTATATGTCCATGGTGATGATTTATGGCCCATTGAAATCCATTTAATGGGTTTATCGGATAATTATCCATTATCCCATCAAATCCCATCGATCATTATACTCCCACACTATATCATCATTATATTCCAAACTATCATTATATTTCCATAGCTATGTTAGATTGTGTTAGTTTACCAGAGCGTATCCTCACTGGGCCATTTGCAGGTGATGATTTTGGACATGCTCTTTCCGAGCTCGCAGAAGGCTCTTGTGCACGCCAACCTGGACGATTCTATCGCACTCGTGCGACGCTACCGACCGCGCAAGGTGCCTACGGGAAGCAAAACATGATGACATGATGATGACATGGAGGCTGCAAAGATGTATGATATATATATATATACAGTGTATATATATATAATTATATTTTTATTGCAATATATTTATATAATATTACAATATGATTAAATTACATGTATATAATAATATTGCATGTACATATAATTATAACATATATACATACATATATATATATAAGAGTGCTGTATTGATTAAGACTTTTGCATCCTTCAAATGTATTTGGCGATTCCTGTAGGATCGCAGATGGCCCTATTTAATAGAAGCGTTACCTGGGACGGCCAGGCCTTCTTCGTCGGCATGTGCCATTTCCGCTGCTTGGAGCGACGACTTTGGGTAATGATAGGGTTATGATCACCCAGTGCTGCCACTCCATTGTGGTAGGTCATTCCTCTTGGGGTGGATGATGCCCTGTCTTCAAATGACCCTATACTTCTATTTCTTCAGCCATTTTTATTCTTGGGTTGTCGTTTGTCAGTCACGTGGGGTTCTATTGCTTTACCTCATGGACTCGTGACATTCGGATTGTTGAAATCCTCTCAGCCAACCATAGCAGGTGAGCATCGCGCACAAAAATCCTGGTGATTGATGATTACATGAGGTCATGTGAACTGATTTTATGATGTCTTGCATATACTGTACAACCCATTGTTGAAATCCCTAGCAAGCAATCTATTGCATCAGTTGTTCCAAGCAGTTGTAGGAGGTTATAGGTGTTTTTTACAAGGCAGGACATTGGTAAGTTGACCTTTAAATTCACCTAAGTTTAACCCCTCAATACGGTGCCTGCGTTGGGAACAACCTTGAACCAGGGGAGCATCACGACATGAACCGAGAGCTACGGCGATTGTGGCACAGCGAGGGCTTGGATGTGCAAGTGGCGCGGGCGCCTTGGAAATTGAGGTGAGACGGGAAGGTTACTTCAACAGTGCTTGGGGAATCTTGGGATACTCTGGATTTCTAGCCCTACATGGTTTTTGGAGACTTGGGATGGGTTTACCGTTGCCACTCAAAATAAGAGCAGGGGATCAAGAAAGCTGTAGATTTCCCCAACATTGAAAAATATTGAAACTAGTGTTGGGAGATGGCCTGTAAACATGTGTAAATATCCAATGTGGCCTCTCCCACGTAAAAAGTTGTTTTATGAACCAATTCAGCTGGATATCTACACATACATATTATATGATAATATCACAATATATCACACATATACCCTCGATTTATTTAACATAGCCATGGAAAATGGCCCATAGAAATAGATGATTTTCCCAGCTAGAAACCTCCATTTATGGTTGGGATTTTCCATGGCGAACTGTTAAATAACCAGATGGTAACATGCTTATCCACCGTAATCCCAACACTGATTGCAGCTTTGATACCTCCAGGGGTTCTGGAGAATATCAACGGAAATAGCTTTCCTGACCCATGGCCGGCCCTGAGGACGGGCACTTCGAGGAGTTGGAGGTCTTGTAGGATCGCGCCAGAAACCCTTCGTTGGATCCATGCTTGGGAAAATAAGACCAGAATTACAGAATTAAGATAAGACATATTCATATTATATATATATATACCTACAACCTCCTCCTATGCGAATTTATCGCTCGAAGTTGAAATCAAAGAAAATATCGCTCGATCACAAGAATATCGCTCGATGATGTGTAAAATGGTCGTTTCATATGTTCAGCCCGACCCCAAAGAGCATTCATTGTGCATTTATGTGGTATAATGTTTATCACGTATTATCATGTCTCAACTTGATGGTTTCAGCCTGCTCCTTGCAGCACATCTGGCTAAATGACCGGCTGACTGGATGTCACTTAATATGCTTACCATTGACCATTCGATGGGATGTTCAGGTTCACTAATAGTTACCACATGTTGCCACATGTTGCCATAAAGACCCAAGAATTAGATATCACATTCAGTGGAGTGGTATCCCCCATGGTAGCTTGATACGGCCTGCTCATATCTGCACCCTGCTGCTATGGCACAATGTTTTGGCCACGGCCTTAGATCTGATTTAGCCTTTTGAAACGTCGATGCAAGATGTGACACTTGACGAGGTAGCACTGTAATACCCTTTCCCCCACGCGACGTGAATCCATTCGCCGGGAAAGGCGGCTGATCCTGCCCACCAGGTCCTCTGATTGTTCACAGTTAAACACGTTCCAGTTCATAATAACCTCATCACCTTTGGATAGGGATTCGTGCAAATCCAGAACTTGATGCTTGAACAAGTGTAACTTGGGCTTTACAGCATATCCGTTGAAATCGTCTTGCAAACAATCGCTAGCCAACTTCATGTAACCCGTCACAAAGCGTTGCATGCTAGCATGTTGCACCATGGCGCAACTGTGTACATGCCACAGCCTGTGTTTGTTCATTACCACAAACACCTCTTTGGCAGCGTGACACGTAGCTTTGATCAGCCGAAGCGTGGGGATGTGTACTGGGTCCAGCGGCGAGTTCATAAAGGCTACACATTGAGTCAAAAGCCAAGACAACAATAACATGGTGTCGGAACCTTTGGTGTTGGCCCATGGGTATGCATCCAGTCTTGGGTACTGCAGCAATGCTCTTGTAATACTGCGGAGAGCAGGGCTTTTTCCTGTGACCGTGCAGTAAAGCTTGAATGAACCGTGCGCTGATGCCAATTTGTCGTTCAGGTCACCTTGAGCTCCAAAGTAATTTTTTGCAACCATCCACAGCAATGCGGAACCCGCTAAGTCTCTGTAGATTCCCACTTTGCAAAGGTGGAAGGGGTCTCTACGGTATTGTTTTTCAGGCGCAGCCCTGCAAACTGGGACAGGTAGCATGGGTGGCGGAGTGGTCCATGGACGTGAAAAAAACCGAGTGTTGGCCCACACTGGTACCTCCGACATGTCCTCCATTGGGCAATTATCCACACCAGCCCCACATTCGTGGCAACAAGCAATGTTGCGCACAATACCTTTGTTCTCCCAACTCCTCTCCAAGGCTATTTTTTTGTACCATTTTAGGTCGCCCTTTGCCCCTACCAGGGCCACTGCATAGTGGCGGTTTCCCACACTGAAACCCTCAAAGAACAAGCGACGTAGGTCCAAAGCCAAGATTTTCAAAAGTCCCATCAGTGCTCCAGGGTGTGTATGATGGACCGAACTTGGGATGATGAACAAAAGGAACCTGTGCAAAAAGGAGTGTCCTTTCATAGTTGTTGACTGCATCTTGAGTGCTTCCAGGTGTTCAGCTGACAATTTGCGATGAACTGTTTGATACTTCCGCAATGAAGCTGCTGGGGGATCACATCCACAATCCTCATGCTTCCGTTTCTTTACATTCACAGCAGTGTAAAGCGAGAAAGGCGTCTCCAAACTGGTAACAACCGTATTTCCTCGGCGTTTTCCCCTCCCTTCATCACCGTGCCACAGCATTGGTAAAACTTGCGAGAGGTTGGACCCATGTTCTTCATAAACAGCGTGGTCAGGATTGGCTAGGCGAAATGCCTCCCAGAATGCTTTCAGGTGAAGAGCCCTTTCAGATGGTGTTTGTAATCCACCAACTAAAACGCCTGGATCATTGGCCATCAACCAGGGCAGCAGATCTGATGGAGCAATGTATGCCATAGGGATCACATCACCACCCTCAGATTGAAATTGATATGTTCTCAACGGTATCTTCCAGCCAATGGATTTTCGTCTAAACAGAGACCAGGTTGCTCTAGAACAGTTCTTCTTCCAACTGGATGAATCATCATCCTTGCCAAGGCGCATCTTTTGCACAGTGACTGTTGGAACCTCAGATCCGTCAGATGGAGCTGGCCGAGACTAATCTTTTCTAATAAGAAATCAAGCCATAAACGTTTAGATTTATTGGGGTGTGATTATCGCTGATTCCTGGGATTACTGGCCAATAGGAAACTACACCATTAATCCAATTGTTGATATCTTTTTGGGAATAGTGAGGTCTTGGTTGCACGACAAAATCCCCATGAAATTTTAAGCTAGGCACCCCATCGGCGACAGCTTCTGCAAAAGCAGTCTCATCTGGTTCTAGGTCTTTTTTTGGACCTGGCATGAGCCCCATGAAAACGAACTAGGCTTTCGGCTTTCAACAACTGTGCGAACTGGGTTTGATTTCAGGTGGTAGCTCGCTTTTTTTCTCCCCCTTCCCTGTGTTCTCACAAGGTTCCTTTGACATGTCGCTGGTTCATGTTGAACCCATAGTGCGTCGAACGGGTATCACAGAGTGCCACAACTGCTTTCAGAAAAACAGCTGGCTAAAGGCATCACCCTAGGGCCCAGTGCCGTACCCGAATGGAAACATGATAAAGTAAAACAGTTGGATAGTTTTTGTCGAATTATGTTCATATCATCACGTTGAGCCCTTTGGGCGTTGCCAACCCCAGTGGCCAATCATTCCTGGCTTGATCTGACCTTGTACCGACCCAAAAAATACCAAATAAATAGTGCAACATTGCAACATGGTCCCAGTATCAAACAGGTCATTTTTCAATGGTAACAACAATTTGGGTTGAATAGTATTTTATGTATATTGGTGGACAGATATTGTTCAAACCAGATACTCCTAGCCAGCCTTTGCTTTGGCCTTTGCTTTCGATTTCGCGTCAGCCGCTTTGCGTGCTCGACGCTTCGGCTTGGGCTTAGGTGCTGCACCCTTTGGAAGAATAGGCCTGCGAGGCAAGGACGGGGATGATAATGGGAAAGGTCAATGGTATGGGGTACATATATGTCAACTTTGTTTTTTCTTTTATTGGATTACATACTTCAGCTATATTTTCCTTTCAGTAAAATTTGAACCTACTTTTGGGTAAAACACCGATCGAGTTGGAGGCGGCCGGCCTCATACGGCTTTCCAAACCCAAAGCTTCCACTGCCCTGGGCAAATTCAGTGGTTATTGAATAGAACTACAGTAAGTAGTGATTTCAGGTGACTGAAAAACCCCACCCTTTTCTTAAGGTCAGAACTTTGCCCGGGCCAACTCGTACATACGAAGGAGATCATCTTCACACCTAAAGTGACTGACCAAAACAAGTGTACATCACATATCGTCACATGACATGAAGTGATATCACCTACCTGGATCAGATTAAGCCACCATAGCAAACCCTATCTTTGCATCTATGAACACTGTTGTATTCAAAACTGCTAAGTACACGGCTTCTTTGAAAACCCATCCACAACCCCGGAGTTGTACGTAGTTTCCATGCTGTTGGTCATGTGGAGCAACTCATCCAGCACCTGCTTCACTTTGTCCTTCATCCTAGGCCACAAATGCATGTTTTTGTTTTGGTTATGTTTAGACCGAAGTAAAGCGGATATAATTTTCATATCATGTTCACTTGGATATAAGGATGGTGAATATCCAGGTTTGATATTGCCATTCTTTCGGGCTTGTCAAACGTGTAAATGTATTTTTATAAACATGGACGAGATTCAGGGTTTGTAAGTCTGTCAAACCTGCGTGGCTTTCAAACTTGGTAAGGCCATCCGACAGACCCTTCGAACGTTTGCCCAAGCAAGTCCTTGGAGGAGGCGCTGGAAACATGGGAAAACAATCGGTCTGGGCATTGGGACCATGGGCTGTGAGTAATTGATGCGATAACACTTCTGGAAGCAAACCTACAGAAAAAAAAACTGCTTTTTATCGAGTTAAGGGTCAACATTTTGCCGGCAATAGAGCTTGGAAGTTGATCGAGAACCAATTCTGGCACACCTGCTCTCTTACGGATTTTCATGGCCGATTCTTCGGCTGCCATCTCTAGGGGATCATCTTCAGAACCAGGGTCACTTTCGTCTTCAGCTTCACTTTCACCACCTGCAACACCAAGCCATGAAGCCCTTGGTGCCAATTGTATATGTTTACACCAAATGCAGAAACATAAATAATTAGGTCACTACAGTACTATGTAAGACCATTGCTTCTATATACTTGTTAACCCCTATCAACCCAAGCCTTCTTGGGGGACCTGCGGGGCATGCTTTGGCAACTTGGTTGGAATCTCATCCTTGGGGGTCTGCAGAGACCGTTTCCTGCCATTTTGCTCTGGCTCAGGCGGTGCCAAGGAGAATGTCCCAGCCATGGGTGCTTTCAGGCACTCTGGGGCATAGTCATTCATGTCAGGGGGGTTCTGTTCCCAGCGAAGCCGTCGGTTGAGCTGGATCTGGCTCCGCTGCCTTGGGGAGGAAAATTGTAATGGCACCGACCAAGTTTATAAAATGTGTTTGTGGACCACCATGTGAAACCTTCACGGCTGCGAGGTTGCTCGAGGGTGGTCCGCCACCGCTCCGCTCTGGATCATGGCCGTTAGGCTTTCCAAACCTCCGTCAACGGCAGTGGCAACAATGCATGGTTGGCACCAGGTTGATTTGCTTCCTTGCCGAAGCCCTCCTATGCCTTGCACATACTGGTGGTGCTGGTTTCCTCGAACACCCGCAGTTCCCGTTGTGGGCAAAAGGCAAGGACCCAGCAAGCATTTGGAGCAATCGTGAGATCCGACTCCTTCGCACTTTAGCTTGTGTGGGCGTGACGTCATTCGACCAGTGCACCGTCGGCAGTGACGCTGTCAAACCCACCACCATTTTGCATGTGAGACTCCCGGAGTTGAGAAGACTCCTCCTTGGCAGTGGTTGCAGCGGCCGATGCAATCACGGGCCCCGTGCACATGAAAGAATGGCAGGGAGAGACGAGGCAGGTGTTTTCCGCACGGCACGTGCAAAAGTTTACCCTGCAGGGCTCAACGCAGTCATTGCCAGGGCAATTCACACTTTTGTACAGGGCACATTCGACGGATGCGACATCAGCCCCTCGATGCCCACCGATTTTGACCGGTACGTGGTGACAGAATTTGTGCCCATCGGTATCGTACAGCCTGATTACCATGGGTAATGCGCAGGTCCCACAACTGGTCTTTTCACCACTGCATGGTACAACACCAGGCACAATCACGTGCAGTACCCAGAAAGTGAAAGTAATCCTTCCCATTGACTAATATTGTTCAGAGGGGGTGAAACCACCAACCAGCAAACAATTGTTAGAAATTGTTCTTCTTTTGGGTTCACTATGGAAGATGGTTTCTCGAGTGTGTTCACATCACAGGGCAAGTTGCCACGCATTGCCAGAACACGTTTGGCGGAACCGCCGGAACCTGCAAGGCCGAGCACATAACTATTGGCATACTGTGTATTGATGTTTAATACATAAGATATATGAATATATATTATCTAATAAATATAAATATAAATATATATAATATATTATGTATTGCTATATATATATATATATATTGCTATATACTACATGATGTACATGATGTACATGTAGTTATTTTATTATATATAAACGCCAATGCATTGCCAGGTATAGTGACAGGCGATGAGTTGCCGAAGCTGGATACCCCAAGACTAAAATCGGTACCCTTCGGGGTCCTCGAACATGGCTAGGAAATAGCATGAAATAGCCTATAAATGGAGGTAGAAATGGTTGAAAATCATATGAATTGGAGATAATCTATGACTTTTTTTAGGGTCTTGATTTTCGACTAATTTTGACCATTGCCATACTTGCTAGGATATGATATACCCGTTGCATCGTGTTACAATTTGTTTTGTAGAATAATTTGCATTGGTCCTCTTTGTTTGTTTTTCACCTATATATTCAGACCCGCTAGTAGCCGGCTAGACAACCATTTGATCGACTGCCAGGTGTTTATGTTTAGAATGCATGTTCACAACAAATAGGTCCTGCAGTCATACTGCTACATCCCATATGGATCCATATCCCCAGTTTTGTTTGTTGAAACTTATATGTATGTCTGTGATTGTGACTTGTCATCGAGATTTCCAATTTCTGGCAGTCAAAGCCTCTGACTGCATGGTGTTTCAAGTGATCATTAACATTCATATTTCTGGGTGGTTTGCCGCTTTACTATTTGGTACCCCACCCAAATGCCGATGCTACTGTTGTTATTATAATATGGTCATCATTATGATTGTAAACAGACATTGCTTGTAACCTATTGCTGGTACCCCATTAGAGTATTATTATGAGCCGTTTCTATCGGTACCTAGTAATTGGTCATCAACTAGTCATTATTGATCATCAGCTAGTCACTATTGATAATGTGTGTGTTCTTGTGCATGTGAAGCCTGTAACTTGGATCCTGCAAATCACTGCACAAAAAGTCAGGAAGTGGGTTTACGATCCAGATCATCCTGTTGCAAGGGGCTACATTTAGTGGTTGTAATATGTCCCATAGGATCCATGTATGCTATATATGGTAACATTTACCATCAATATACCCCCAATGTTAGCATATATACCATACATGGATCCTATGGGTGTTGTAACCCAGTTCCAAACCTCATCGAATCACTCTCCACAATCGTCAGAGCTCAATGGAGACGGCGTAGATCCCTGTTGTGCGGAAAATTCAGAAACTTCGAAGTGTTCCCGAAGAATTATCTGTTCATTCTTTCTGTATCTCAACAAACATGGGGAGAACGGTTTTGGGTCAGTCCCACAGTTTGAACGTTCGGCCAAAAAATGCACCACGCGGCATTGGTACCAGCAACATACAGTTCCCATATCTTCCCCAAGAAGGAGCCTGACATTTCCATGGTGGCATCCCCTTTTTTTATTGCTATATGTCCATGGTGATGATTTATGGCCCATTGAAATCCATTTAATGGGTTTATCGGATAATTATCCATTATCCCATCAAATCCCATCGATCATTATACTCCCACACTATATCATCATTATATTCCAAACTATCATTATATTTCCATAGCTATGTTAGATTGTGTTAGTTTACCAGAGCGTATCCTCACTGGGCCATTTGCAGGTGATGATTTTGGACATGCTCTTTCCGAGCTCGCAGAAGGCTCTTGTGCACGCCAACCTGGACGATTCTATCGCACTCGTGCGACGCTACCGACCGCGCAAGGTGCCTACGGGAAGCAAAACATGATGACATGATGATGACATGGAGGCTGCAAAGATGTATGATATATATATATATACAGTGTATATATATATAATTATATTTTTATTGCAATATATTTATATAATATTACAATATGATTAAATTACATGTATATAATAATATTGCATGTACATATAATTATAACATATATACATACATATATATATATATAAGAGTGCTGTATTGATTAAGACCTTTGCATCCTTCAAATGTATTTGGCGATTCCTGTAGGATCGCAGATGGCCCTATTTAATAGAAGCGTTACCTGGGACGGCCAGGCCTTCTTCGTCGGCATGTGCCATTTCCGCTGCTTGGAGCGACGACTTTGGGTAATGATAGGGTTATGATCACCCAGTGCTGCCACTCCATTGTGGTAGGTCATTCCTCTTGGGGTGGATGATGCCCTGTCTTCAAATGACCCTATACTTCTATTTCTTCAGCCATTTTTATTCTTGGGTTGTCGTTTGTCAGTCACGTGGGGTTCTATTGCTTTACCTCATGGACTCGTGACATTCGGATTGTTGAAATCCTCTCAGCCAACCATAGCAGGTGAGCATCGCGCACAAAAATCCTGGTGATTGATGATTACATGAGGTCATGTGAACTGATTTTATGATGTCTTGCATATACTGTACAACCCATTGTTGAAATCCCTAGCAAGCAATCTATTGCATCAGTTGTTCCAAGCAGTTGTAGGAGGTTATAGGTGTTTTTTACAAGGCAGGACATTGGTAAGTTGACCTTTAAATTCACCTAAGTTTAACCCCTCAATACGGTGCCTGCGTTGGGAACAACCTTGAACCAGGGGAGCATCACGACATGAACCGAGAGCTACGGCGATTGTGGCACAGCGAGGGCTTGGATGTGCAAGTGGCGCGGGCGCCTTGGAAATTGAGGTGAGACGGGAAGGTTACTTCAACAGTGCTTGGGGAATCTTGGGATACTCTGGATTTCTAGCCCTACATGGTTTTTGGAGACTTGGGATGGGTTTACCGTTGCCACTCAAAATAAGAGCAGGGGATCAAGAAAGCTGTAGATTTCCCCAACATTGAAAAATATTGAAACTAGTGTTGGGAGATGGCCTGTAAACATGTGTAAATATCCAATGTGGCCTCTCCCACGTAAAAAGTTGTTTTATGAACCAATTCAGCTGGATATCTACACATACATATTATATGATAATATCACAATATATCACACATATACCCTCGATTTATTTAACATAGCCATGGAAAATGGCCCATAGAAATAGATGATTTTCCCAGCTAGAAACCTCCATTTATGGTTGGGATTTTCCATGGCGAACTGTTAAATAACCAGATGGTAACATGCTTATCCACCGTAATCCCAACACTGATTGCAGCTTTGATACCTCCAGGGGTTCTGGAGAATATCAACGGAAATAGCTTTCCTGACCCATGGCCGGCCCTGAGGACGGGCACTTCAAGGAGTTGGAGGTCTTGTAGGATCGCGCCAGAAACCCTTCGTTGGATCCATGCTTGGGAAAATAAGACCAGAATTACAGAATTAAGATAAGACATATTCATATTATATATATATATACCTACAACCTCCTCCTATGCGAATTTATCGCTCGAAGTTGAAATCAAAGAAAATATCGCTCGATCACAAGAATATCGCTCGATGATGTGTAAAATGGTCGTTTCATATGTTCAGCCCGACCCCAAAGAGCATTCATTGTGCATTTATGTGGTATAATGTTTATCACGTATTATCATGTCTCAACTTGATGGTTTCAGCCTGCTCCTTGCAGCACATCTGGCTAAATGACCGGCTGACTGGATGTCACTTAATATGCTTACCATTGACCATTCGATGGGATGTTCAGGTTCACTAATAGTTACCACATGTTGCCACATATTGCCATAAAGACCCAAGAATTAGATATCACATTCAGTGGAGTGGTATCCCCCATGGTAGCTTGATACGGCCTGCTCATATCTGCACCCTGCTGCTATGGCACAATGTTTTGGCCACGGCCTTAGATCTGATTTAGCCTTTTGAAACGTCGATGCAAGATGTGACACTTGACGAGGTAGCACTGTAATACCCTTTCCCCCACGCGACGTGAATCCATTCGCCGGGAAAGGCGGCTGATCCTGCCCACCAGGTCCTCTGATTGTTCACAGTTAAACACGTTCCAGTTCATAATAACCTCATCACCTTTGGATAGGGATTCGTGCAAATCCAGAACTTGATGCTTGAACAAGTGTAACTTGGGCTTTACAGCATATCCGTTGAAATCGTCTTGCAAACAATCGCTAGCCAACTTCATGTAACCCGTCACAAAGCGTTGCATGCTAGCATGTTGCACCATGGCGCAACTGTGTACATGCCACAGCCTGTGTTTGTTCATTACCACAAACACCTCTTTGGCAGCGTGACACGTAGCTTTGATCAGCCGAAGCGTGGGGATGTGTACTGGGTCCAGCGGCGAGTTCATAAAGGCTACACATTGAGTCAAAAGCCAAGACAACAATAACATGGTGTCGGAACCTTTGGTGTTGGCCCATGGGTATGCATCCAGTCTTGGGTACTGCAGCAATGCTCTTGTAATACTGCGGAGAGCAGGGCTTTTTCCTGTGACCGTGCAGTAAAGCTTGAATGAACCGTGCGCTGATGCCAATTTGTCGTTCAGGTCACCTTGAGCTCCAAAGTAATTTTTTGCAACCATCCACAGCAATGCGGAACCCGCTAAGTCTCTGTAGATTCCCACTTTGCAAAGGTGGAAGGGGTCTCTACGGTATTGTTTTTCAGGCGCAGCCCTGCAAACTGGGACAGGTAGCATGGGTGGCGGAGTGGTCCATGGACGTGAAAAAAACCGAGTGTTGGCCCACACTGGTACCTCCGACATGTCCTCCATTGGGCAATTATCCACACCAGCCCCACATTCGTGGCAACAAGCAATGTTGCGCACAATACCTTTGTTCTCCCAACTCCTCTCCAAGGCTATTTTTTTGTACCATTTTAGGTCGCCCTTTGCCCCTACCAGGGCCACTGCATAGTGGCGGTTTCCCACACTGAAACCCTCAAAGAACAAGCGACGTAGGTCCAAAGCCAAGATTTTCAAAAGTCCCATCAGTGCTCCAGGGTGTGTATAATGGACCGAACTTGGGATGATGAACAAAAGGAACCTGTGCAAAAAGGAGTGTCCTTTCATAGTTGTTGACTGCATCTTGAGTGCTTCCAGGTGTTCAGCTGACAATTTGCGATGAACTGTTTGATACTTCCGCAATGAAGCTGCTGGGGGATCACATCCACAATCCTCATGCTTCCGTTTCTTTACATTCACAGCAGTGTAAAGCGAGAAAGGCGTCTCCAAACTGGTAACAACCGTATTTCCTCGGCGTTTTCCCCTCCCTTCATCACCGTGCCACAGCATTGGTAAAACTTGCGAGAGGTTGGACCCATGTTCTTCATAAACAGCGTGGTCAGGATTGGCTAGGCGAAATGCCTCCCAGAATGCTTTCAGGTGAAGAGCCCTTTCAGATGGTGTTTGTAATCCACCAACTAAAACGCCTGGATCATTGGCCATCAACCAGGGCAGCAGATCTGATGGAGCAATGTATGCCATAGGGATCACATCACCACCCTCAGATTGAAATTGATATGTTCTCAACGGTATCTTCCAGCCAATGGATTTTCGTCTAAACAGAGACCAGGTTGCTCTAGAACAGTTCTTCTTCCAACTGGATGAATCATCATCCTTGCCAAGGCGCATCTTTTGCACAGTGACTGTTGGAACCTCAGATCCGTCAGATGGAGCTGGCCGAGACTAATCTTTTCTAATAAGAAATCAAGCCATAAACGTTTAGATTTATTGGGGTGTGATTATCGCTGATTCCTGGGATTACTGGCCAATAGGAAACTACACCATTAATCCAATTGTTGATATCTTTTTGGGAATAGTGAGGTCTTGGTTGCACGACAAAATCCCCATGAAATTTTAAGCTAGGCACCCCATCGGCGACAGCTTCCGCAAAAGCAGTCTCATCTGGTTCTAGGTCTTTTTTTGGACCTGGCATGAGCCCCATGAAAACGAACTAGGCTTTCGGCTTTCAACAACTGTGCGAACTGGGTTTGATTTCAGGTGGTAGCTCGCTTTTTTTCTCCCCCTTCCCTGTGTTCTCACAAGGTTCCTTTGACATGTCGCTGGTTCATGTTGAACCCATAGTGCGTCGAACGGGTATCACAGAGTGCCACAACTGCTTTCAGAAAAACAGCTGGCTAAAGGCATCACCCTAGGGCCCAGTGCCGTACCCGAATGGAAACATGATAAAGTAAAACAGTTGGATAGTTTTTGTCGAATTATGTTCATATCATCACGTTGAGCCCTTTGGGCGTTGCCAACCCCAGTGGCCAATCATTCCTGGCTTGATCTGACCTTGTACCGACCCAAAAAATACCAAATAAATAGTGCAACATTGCAACATGGTCCCAGTATCAAACAGGTCATTTTTCAATGGTAACAACAATTTGGGTTGAATAGTATTTTATGTATATTGGTGGACAGATATTGTTCAAACCAGATACTCCTAGCCAGCCTTTGCTTTGGCCTTTGCTTTCGATTTCGCGTCAGCCGCTTTGCGTGCTCGACGCTTCGGCTTGGGCTTAGGTGCTGCACCCTTTGGAAGAATAGGCCTGCGAGGCAAGGACGGGGATGATAATGGGAAAGGTCAATGGTATGGGGTACATATATGTCAACTTTGTTTTTTCTTTTATTGGATTACATACTTCAGCTATATTTTACTTTCAGTAAAATTTGAACCTACTTTTGGGTAAAACACCGATCGAGTTGGAGGCGGCCGGCCTCATACGGCTTTCCAAACCCAAAGCTTCCACTGCCCTGGGCAAATTCAGTGGTTATTGAATAGAACTACAGTAAGTAGTGATTTCAGGTGACTGAAAAACCCCACCCTTTTCTTAAGGTCAGAACTTTGCCCGGGCCAACTCGTACATACGAAGGAGATCATCTTCACACCTAAAGTGACTGACCAAAACAAGTGTACATCACATATCGTCACATGACATGAAGTGATATCACCTACCTGGATCAGATTAAGCCACCATAGCAAACCCTATCTTTGCATCTATGAACACTGTTGTATTCAAAACTGCTAAGTACACGGCTTCTTTGAAAACCCATCCACAACCCCGGAGTTGTACGTAGTTTCCATGCTGTTGGTCATGTGGAGCAACTCATCCAGCACCTGCTTCACTTTGTCCTTCATCCTAGGCCACAAATGCATGTTTTTGTTTTGGTTATGTTTAGACCGAAGTAAAGCGGATATAATTTTCATATCATGTTCACTTGGATATAAGGATGGTGAATATCCAGGTTTGATATTGCCATTCTTTCGGGCTTGTCAAACGTGTAAATGTATTTTTATAAACATGGACGAGATTCAGGGTTTGTAAGTCTGTCAAACCTGCGTGGCTTTCAAACTTGGTAAGGCCATCCGACAGACCCTTCGAACGTTTGCCCAAGCAAGTCCTTGGAGGAGGCGCTGGAAACATGGGAAAACAATCGGTCTGGGCATTGGGACCATGGGCTGTGAGTAATTGATGCGATAACACTTCTGGAAGCAAACCTACAGAAAAAAAAACTGCTTTTTATCGAGTTAAGGGTCAACATTTTGCCGGCAATAGAGCTTGGAAGTTGATCGAGAACCAATTCTGGCACACCTGCTCTCTTACGGATTTTCATGGCCGATTCTTCGGCTGCCATCTCTAGGGGATCATCTTCAGAACCAGGGTCACTTTCGTCTTCAGCTTCACTTTCACCACCTGCAACACCAAGCCATGAAGCCCTTGGTGCCAATTGTATATGTTTACACCAAATGCAGAAACATAAATAATTAGGTCACTACAGTACTATGTAAGACCATTGCTTCTATATACTTGTTAACCCCTATCAACCCAAGCCTTCTTGGGGGACCTGCGGGGCATGCTTTGGCAACTTGGTTGGAATCTCATCCTTGGGGGTCTGCAGAGACCGTTTCCTGCCATTTTGCTCTGGCTCAGGCGGTGCCAAGGAGAATGTCCCAGCCATGGGTGCTTTCAGGCACTCTGGGGCATAGTCATTCATGTCAGGGGGGTTCTGTTCCCAGCGAAGCCGTCGGTTGAGCTGGATCTGGCTCCGCTGCCTTGGGGAGGAAAATTGTAATGGCACCGACCAAGTTTATAAAATGTGTTTGTTTGTGTTGGTAGGGATAGTAAAGGCAACTAGCCCAAAAATGAAACCCAAATTTGAAGTTAATTACAACAAAATATGAAATATTATATATTATATATTATATATTATATATGATAAATATATGCCATTCGAATCTGAAGTCGCGTTGGGGTATATTATATGATGGCCCCCAGTTTCCTGGTCTTCATATGTTTTGAGCCGAGATACCGATTGGTAGTCTTCACAGCACATTCTGCCCAATACAAAGTCTTTTTTTCGTATCGGTCGGTCCTTCACGGCTAAAGGTTGCAA